ATTTTACACATATGATATTATGAATACTGTGGGCCTACATACCTTAGTGTGATTATAAGTGCATGTGAGTGAATATTGGCATGTATAAATTCGTTTTTATACGTCCTATTCATTGTCTCAATGCGATCATACATCTTAAGAAAGTTATCACCAAAAATGTTAAGAATGTTTTTAGAGAACGTTATGCTACCTTTCAGAAGAACATTCTGGGAACCAAAATAAAACGTCCCGCTGAAAACGTTTTAAGAACAGTAGGACATAATGTTCTAACAATGTTATCAAAAACATCTTAAGAAGGTTATCAAAAACATCTTAAGAAGGTTATCACCAAATATTTCAAGAATATTTTTAGAGAACATTATCCTACCTTTCAGAAGAACATTCTGGTAACCAAAATAAAACGTCCCGCTGAAAACATTCCTAGAACAACGAATGGTAACAAACATTTCTAGCTGGGAACTCACACATGCCACGTTTTTCAAAAGGAAAATATGGTGACATCAGATTTTTTTTAAAACATTCTTTTCAAACAAATGCAACAAGTTTGTTTTTTAAAGCGCTCTAGAAATAAATCTGACCATGACCGTGTTAATATTTGCCATAACAGGAACGTTTTATAAAAAAAAGAATAACATCCTGAAAACATTTTCAGAATGTTTCTTGGAGAATGTTCTTCATTTGTTATCATGTAACATTGAGGGAACGTTTTATAAAGAACATCTTTAATGTGTTACCCCAACAACGTCCAAAACACATCCTTAGAATGTTGCAGGCAAAACGTTCCACCTTTGTTAACATATCACATTAAAGGAACATTTTATAAAACACTTTCTGTCATCTCAGGCCTCAATAACATCCTGAAAACATTTTCAGAATGTTTCTTGGAGAATGTTCTTCATTTGTTATCATGTAACATTAAAGGAACATTTTATAAAACACTTTCTGTCATCTCAGGCCTCAATAACATCGTGAAAACATTTTCAGAATGTTTCTTGGAGAATGTTCTTCATTTGTTATCATGTAACATTGATGGAACGTTTTATAAAGAACATCTTTAATGTGTTACCCAACAACGTCCAAAACACATCCTTAGAATGTTGCAGGCAAAACGTTCCACCTTTGTTAACATATCACATTAAAGGAATGTTTTATAAAAAAACGTTCTGTCATCTCAGGCCTCAATAACATCCTCAAAACATCCTCTGAATGTTGCAGTTAAAACGTTATGTCTTAGTTAACCTTAAACCTTATAGGAACATTATTTGAAAAAATAAACATCCTAAAAAGGTTCTTTGAACATCAGATAAAAACGTTTCTTTAAAACCTTATTAGAACCAATATGTAACGTTAGCCAAAGTTGTGAGAACGTACTCCGCTAGCCGGGGAGCCTCTCAGTCTGACAGGAGAGGACTCTCCTCCTTTGTTGTTGAAAAAACTCCTTATTAGCAGCACCAGAAGCTAACAACAACGATCTCCGGTACCGGTGCGCTCTCTCTCTCTCGCTCGCGCACGCACACAAAATGGCTCGTTCCACACACACACAGAGCCGAGCTTTAATGAAACACAGAGACCCAGACGTAATAGTACTGTACTGTATCATATTATTTTCGAATCAATATATATATTTTTGTAATCTTTCTTTTTTTTTCTTTTTTTAATAACCATTTTTCCTCCTGGTCTCTCGCGCCCTCCCCTGTCATGTCTGTGCGCCCCCCACTTTGGGAACCACTGGATTAACCTATGGATTAACTTCAGCAGCGTTTTTATCGTTTTAATGCCATTGAAGACCACTTTTGACCAGACTACGACACAGGTAAGCCATGTTAGCGTTTTTAGCTACCTAGCGCCACATGTTTTGATGTCTGTTTTTGTTTATAAAGTCGCGAGTTCGTATCATAGAGTGATAATGTATGTACCCATCGATTCTGTGTCATCTCACGATCAGATCGATGGTTTGGATGTGCAGAAAAGATAAATAATAAGGTTTTATGAGTGAGTTTTGGTGCAGTAAATCTGTTAGCATTTTTCGCTCGTTGCTAATTCAGAGGCTCAGCGTTAGCATTGTGGGGTTTTAAAAAAAAAAAAAAAAAAAAAAAAGATCAGTTAGATGAGTTTCTTCCCGTTACATGGATATAAAACATTCATAGTTTATTAAATGAACATGCCCTCAGACACTGTTTCCTGCAAGATGTTGCGGGAGGGCCCCGGTACCGGGGTCTCTCGGGCTTAACAGGTTAATGTGTAGATTTTTAAGACTTTCTATGATTTTGCAATCACTCCATTTAGGAATTGTTAGCATCACTTCTTCTGATAAAGTTCTGAAGAATCTTCATTTCAATAAGTTGAGTGACTTTGTCTCAAAGCTTACTACTTCTGCACGGTGACATTCATGTTATCATTCGCTGTGGTGGGATTTTTCTCAAATTGAGGTATGACATGTCTTATCACTGAAATATGAAAAGGATTAACCACACCAATGATACTAATCCATTACAAATAAGGATTACATGACGGAGTCAAGTGCACTTCAACAATTGAAAATAATCGTTCTGCACAACTCAGGCACTGAGCCAACCGGTCACTGAGCTAAACAGCAACACCTGTATCAGTGTTTGCATGGAGATGAGTATCAAATCAATGCAACCTCTATGACCTGGCACACCCACACCACCATCATGATGAATCATGTCAGTGTCACTGAATAATGTGGCTTGCCTTGTCTCAACAAAGCCTGAGACTCAGGGTTAAGAGGAGGTGCATCATTGTGATGGTTTACTCTTGACGTTGTAGTTTCCCCTAATGACCAAACAAAACAATTTTCCTGATTTTATCTCACATTTCTTGTACAGCAATGATAAGCTACATTAATAGTAGGCAGAGCTGTTGTAGAAAGGGCTGTTTATCCACCAACCACTAGGAAAAATAAGTTATACAATAATATCAATCTGGCAACACAAATTAGTCCCTGAAAGCCATGTTAGCTTAACGGAAGAGGAATTTTTAGACGGGTATAAAGTCATTATTTTATAGTTGTTATTAAGTGTCCATCAGAATTAACATTATTGCACGTTTAAACACATGTGCTGGACCATTCTGACATTTGAAACCAATAAATAGTCACTTTCGTAAAAGTAAAAAGCATTGCTTTTTCATTGCACTTTCATACAGTAAGCCCGCATGACATAACCTCTGGCAGGTGTATGAACTAGTCTTGGACTTTGTTTTCTGGATATTCATAGAAAACGAATAATTAAAGACAATAGAACAGACACTTGTAACTACATTAAAGAGTAAGCAAAACACTGATGTTTAGATTATGAATATGAATATGTGATATGATAGTGAGTTTACAACATATAATCCTGTATGTTGGTCGAGAACTTAAAACCAACTAAACAACCAAAGAGGTGTAAAATATATTAAATATGCGGCCATCATTTTAAGATTGATCTGTTCTGAAGTCTATTTACAAAATACTTTTGGAAACACACAGACTTAATTGGTCAAAGGTCCAAAATGTAAAGAACGTAGTGTGAAACCAGCCTCAGGTTAACTTATCATTAGTCTAATTTACTTTCAGCTTTTTGACCCTGCTGCACTTTGAACTGATGTCATTGTCAACTTGCCTACAGTTAATGGTCCAAAGTTCATTCATTGCCTTTGTCCTTATAATGCACAATAAAATGCATGTCTCTTGTCTATTAACATGGTAAGCATGTACATTGAGCTTTTCAGTATGACAGGCAGCATGTTTTCGGTTGAACATTACCATATAAAGATATCAAACACTAATGACCTGTAGCGTTTAGCTTGTTAGCTCCCTAACTTTTGGGATGAAATGCAAAAAATAAATATTTAGCAAGCTGAGGTTACATTTGGTCCAAAGCTCAAAATACACGCAACATTTATTCACAGTAAAGTATTCAGGCCCCAAAAGATTAGATATTGTAACGAAAAGCATTAGTGTATTTAACACACAGATAAATGTCAGCAGACTTCAACAGCCTTTGTGTTTTCTGTGCAAGAAATATGTGGGTAGGAATCAAACCAAGAGCTTTGTTTGTTTAAAGACTATCTGAAAACACGCACCCTGGACTGCTGGGGATAGATTCACAAGATGCACTTTCATCATGTGCCCAATTATATACATTTGTCACAGTTGTTTTAAAAATAACACATGGAGAGATATTTGTGTCTGCATTTGAAAATGATTTCAAGTTTACAGTCTAGTTTCAGATTGTTAATCTACAGCATCAGGTGTAATTGTTTCTTCAGCAATCATTATAAATTCAGTGCTGGAATACAATGACTAAAGAGCAACCAGTCAACTGGGATGGTAAAGTCAACATTTTTAGAATTGGTAATATTCCTCGCACTGGAAGGCTGAGAACAGGTTGCCTTTCCAAGAATTTGAGTCAAATTAGTTTGTCATGAGCGAGTCATACATTTTCTGTCAGTAAAAAATTCTTCCTTTGGTAAATCTTATTGTGACACTTTCTCTATCAGAGGTCAGGGGTTAAAAAAATAACGATGGGAAAATAAGAAATACCAGACCTGCTTTGTAAGGTTACCAGGGGGGACATCATGAAGTAGATATTATCCTGCCACAGTGCCTGGAGCACATTCGTCATTGTTTTTCTTGTGTCGTTTTGTAACGTCTGGATTTTTTTCTCTTTCTTTTGGTTGCTGTTGTTTAACAGTATTTTGCTGGTGCTTGCTTGCTAGCTTGTTAGTTGGCTCATTGGAATTGTCAGACTTTGTAAGATACACACTTTTGCTGTTCGGTCAGATTTTCGGTTGAAAGTACATTTACAAAGAAAACACAAACACATACAAAGAAACATCCTTTGCAAAAGTAGTCAAAAGTACAGCATATTTTTGTGTAGTGATGGTTCCCACTGCCTGACAAAACATGATCCTAGAAAGGGAGATCTGCAGTCGGATCATGAAAACCTTAAAGGCAACACAAATTGACATAAACAGCACAAAAGGCAAAAACCTTATCTGAGTGGCAGCGTCTCAGAAGGATGTTTGACACATCTTTATGGAGCCTTTCAGATAGATCACACGGGTGTTTGGTTTCGACGGTAAAGGTAATAACATACCAAAGTATGTTGTGTTTATAGCAGCACATATTTTTGCAGATGGGTTGAAGACAACCTATTGTTCTTAGAAGAAAGAATGAAACACAGACCCACAGGCAGGAAGGGAAGAAGCAAGAGTGCTGCCATCATCTGGTTCACAGGTGATTAACAAGTCCTCAAAACTTAATTTAGAAGTTTATTTCTTGAACAAAAGTTTATTAATAGTTTTGTTTATTTTGTTACCTTGCATTATCTATGAAATTGAGACTGGAAAAAAAATGTGGGTAGGAAAATAAGATGCACAATAACAGAACAAATCAAACAGACAAAAGAATAATAAAGTAGTCTACAGAATATGTCCAATTAACAGGCTTGTATTACATAATTTTGTTATATATGGCACCGAGCTCAGCCCGAAGTTTCTTGAAAGAAGATCTATTTCCGGGATCGTACTGCCAGCAGCTGATCATAATCCTTGAGATTTCCACGGGGCAGTTGTGTGGAGCAGGCATCCGGTATCCTGAAACACATCCTGACAGTCAAAACATGTGGAATTGAGAAAATGCATCACAAAAAGCAGGAATCTGAAAACAAAAACTTTTACAGTGGATTTTTTGCATGACGAGTCTTCACCTTTCTCCACCTCGTCTCGTGTTTGTTGGTTGCTCATGCTCGTGTAGGGCGTCATTCCCAGGGAGAAGACCTCCCACAGTAAGACCCCAAAGCTCCACACATCACTCTCTGTGGTATAACGACCTGAACACACCAGCAGGGGGCAGCATCAGCAAAGGCTCAGGCACATATCTGTTAGTTTTCAATTGACAGCTGGCAGACAGAACCAGGAGTAGTGTGCTGGTTGTGATTGCAGGGCAGAAACAGTTGTGTTGTACCGTAGTTCAGGGCCTCAGGAGCCGTCCATTTGACAGGGATCTGTCTGAGGCCGCCCTCTGCAGAATAGACACCGTCGTCTTGCTGACGGGACATCCCAAAGTCGCTGATCTTCACCACGTTGTGCTCTGCAACCAGACAGTTTCTTGCAGCCAGGTCCCTTAAAAGAAGACAGTGGGAAAAGTATGTCAGTGATGAATATATGGGCTGATAAAACATTGAATAAAAAGAGACACAAAAGCATCATGCTCTGTCTGAAAAAAGACATGGCGAGAGAACTGAGGGGACTATAAGAAATGAGAGAACATGTCTCCAGTGTAGCATGTGAGGCAGATTGACATGCAGCGTTACAGGCTGAGCAGCAGCAGCTCTGATCTGTCCCTGCCGGGCAAATCTCACAGTGCTCCTGTAATGAGCCTGGTGTCACAACCTCATGTTTTCTGCAGAGCACTGACAGCCGGGATTTATACCTCACCAAAATAAATAACTCATACACAACTGAACTGATCCACTAAAACACCCTGGTTGCAACATTTCACGTATTTCTCTTTTGATAAGAATTTATTTTTTATGTTAAAGGATTATGTTTAATGTGTGATCCTTAAATGAGTTTCACCCTCATTGTGAGATAGTCTTTAGAGGTTGTGTGAGCCTGATTTTCCTCTTAGCTTGTACAAAATGTTCAAACAGAACCAATCACAGAATGCGCTTCCTCCCTGTCTCTTTTACAGCTGGTATAAAATTGCATTAGTGTACGTTAATAGATAAGAGACTCTGAACGGTTTAATAAGTTCACTGTCTCTCCTTTTAAACTACCAACAGTATAGAGTTTAAGACAGAAGTTTTATTGTATTTTAAAGTGCTTCCTTTTATTTGGCACATTTCATTTGCTCAAAATGTTTTTAATTATTTTTTGTAAAATCACTTTAAGGTCAACTTTATGAAAATATAGTCAAGGCTCTTTTCTGTGGATTTTATACTACACTTTGGTGCTTATTTGTATCTGTTTTATTATTATTTTCAAAACCCTTTAGAAATACAGCACTGTAGTTTTCTGAATAAGCTTTTAAATGTTTTTTGGGGGCAGTTCCAGTTCTTGAGGACACTTATCTCTTTTTTTTTAGTTTGGCTTCAATGCACTTATTGTAGGTTGCCAAATGAACGTAATGGGCTGCTGAATAAATGGCAGTGCTATATCTTTTAATATAAACGAAAAAACATGGTAGGTCAGCCAGCAGAGCGTGGTTCCAGCTTCTTCGAAGACAAAACAGCTTCAATAACAGTTTGACGGCTACATCAACATATGTGGAAGTGCTGCGGGGAAAGTGCAGTTTGGTTAACAGTTGGATTATGTTAATGTGAGGGAAGTGACTTATGTTCTGTATTATGAACTGTAAAGGCTTTCAGATCTGCCTGCAGCTTGTTCCACACTTGTTCCTGTGTAAAATGAACATGTTTCAATATGTAATATCTTTTCATTGGAACCATTACTTGTCTGACTCACTGCTTGTGTGGTGTCTTTAGATCCACCATACTGTACAACTAAGAGATGAAGTTTACTGTCCTCCGATAAAAGCATAATTAGTGGTGTTAGTTTGTTTATTTATTTAGTTATGTATATCCTTGTTTAGTATTACATTTTGTAAATCTGTAAATATAGTGGTGTAGGGACGATTTATTTTTGTAGGAAAGGATTTATTTTTGTAGGAAAGATTTTTGATTATTGCAGAAAATAGGCTCTTGGGCAAACACACATGTATGATAGTTATTCACAGGTTTCGTTCAGCAAATAGTCTTTACAAATGAACAGAACATTTATGATTTTTTAAGTGTAAGTGCAATTGCCAGCAGTAAAGCGTTAGACTATACATTTACTATAGTATGGTAGCATGAAGTAACGGACACTAAGCTAAAGGCTGACTTTTGTTGGGCATGATAAAGTTTACTAGACTCTAACAAGCTTTCTAAAGGTCAGTAAGCAAATTCGTTTTCTTAGCTTGGTTGCTTATGGGCAGACATTTCACACAAGTATTCCTAGCGCAGTCAAAATGTGCACCATTTTTATCTCAAAATCCTGTTTGAGATGAAGTGAATAGATCCTTATAAAAAACGTGTTTGTAACCAACCTGTGAATACACTTCTTGCTCTCCAGGAACTCCATACCAGATGCAACATTTTCTGTCATTTTGACCAAAATCTTCGGCTTCAGACTGTGACTCCCATGCCGTAAGAGGGAAAGAAAGTCACCACCTAATGAAATGTGTACACACAAACACATACATATGTCATGATGGAGGGGCACAGCTTTAAATTGTTGGTTATATAAACTGAAATACAGGATTATATTTACCTTGAACGAGCTCCATGATGATGTAGATGGGCTGCTGCTGAGTGCAAACTCCTATCAGCTTCACAATGTTAGGATGGTCATACTGCTTCAGGATCCTAGAGAGCACAGGAGAGGTTGTTTGTGTGTGTGTGTGTGTGTGTGTGTGTGTGTGTGTGTGTGTGTGTGTGTGTGTGTGTGTGTGTGTGTGTGTGTGTGTGTGTGTGTGTGTGTGTGTGTGTGTGTGTGTGTGTGTGTGTGTGTGTGTGTGTGTGTGTGTGTGTGTGTGTGTGTGTGTGTGTGTGTGTGTGTGTGTGTGTGTGTGTGTGTGTGTGTGTACTGACCTGGCTTCCATCAGGAACTTACTCTTGTGCTCCGGGGCCAGGTTCTCTTTGCAGGATTTCACGGCTACAGGAGTATTATTGGAGCGTAAAAGGCCACTGTACACTTCTCCAAAGTTACCCTGTGTGGCATGAACATCAGCATGATTTGTCACCGCTTTTATAATTCTCTTTTCCATCTGAACAATTCTCTTTGATGAACTGTTACCATATGTAGACAATTTGCTGACAATTTGAGAGGAAATGAGAGACGAATGTGCAATTCAATTCTTCTACTTTAACTACTTTTAAGTGTTCAATCTATGGAAACTATGTAAAATTGGTAGGTTCATTTGAAAGATTGGTTAAAATAAATGGTTATTGGGTGCTGTAACTGTTCCTCCTGCCCATACTGGCTGTGAAGAGAGCTCTTAACGCTATTTCACTGTGAGTGATGAGGTACTAAAATTACAGTCCTATTTCTATGAAAAAAAGACTGCCAAAGTTCAGCAGCAGCTTATATGAAATCATACACAGCAGTCTGATTTACATGGAGCAAGTGGATATCTTCCATAGTTACAAAAATCCCTCTTTTGTATTGGCGAAGACAGTGTTTCTCAACAGTGATGTTACAAAAAATGTGCTGTTTGTACTAAAAAGACAGTGGAGTTTAATTGACAAATTCATACTGATATTATTGTAGCTTTACTTTCACAAAGACATCTTCATAGGAGAAACCACAACCACAAGTAGAGATGTCCCGATCCGATCACGTGATCGGGGATCGGAGCCGATCACGTGATTTTCAAGAGATCGGAATCGGGAGAAAAAAATCGGGGATCGGGATTTTTTTTTTTTTTTTATAAAATATTTTTATTATTTTATTTAATGTTACAAAACAAAAATGACTATGTTCACGTCTTAAAGTCATCCTGAGGCCTTAGTTTTGGTTTAAAATTACACAACATCATGTATGTGTTGCTTCTTTTGGGCTTGTTTTCATAGACCTGGTTGCTTATTTCTCTCAAATCTGGCAACAGAGTGGGCAGGGCGCAGTGTCTAATAGTAGCAGTAAGCTAACGAGAGGCTACGTTCAGCTGGTGACTCGGGAGTCGGGACAGAGAAAATGTCAGGAGTTTGGAAGTAGATGCAATGTTTGCAAGGCGGAGGTTCCGCGTGGTGGAAAGAACAGAGCTACGTTCAACACGACCAATCTAATACGCCACCTGAGAAACAAACACCAACAACAATACGACGAGTACACAGCGGCCACTCAGGTAACGGCACTGAAACAACCGACACTTTCAGAGACTTTTAAAAGGAAAGAGAAACTGCCCCAGAACAGTGAAAAGGCCAAAAAAATAACAGCCAAGATAGCTGAATTCATCGCGTTGGATGACCAGCCGTTATATGTTACCTTTTTTTTCTCTTAATGCATTGCATAAAGATCGGATCGGGGAAAAACCGGTATCGGCAGATTTTCAAAATGAAATGATCGGAATCGGATCGGGAGCAAAAAAAGGTGATCGGGACATCCCTAACCACAAGTTACTATTTCAAAGTCCATATGGACATCAATGTACAGAATGTGATTTTTACCTACCCGTCCGATGAGGGGACCCAAGATAATATCATCATGTTCCAGGACCCACTTGTCCTAAAGGGTTTAAAATGAACAATAAAAGATGCATCATAGAGCTATGGCACTAGCAAGACAGAACATGGAAGACAATTTGAAGGAAACATTATTAGAGATTAGGTTTGAAAGTGTGCTCATCTGTGATGACCATTGAAGCAGTCAGTATGTTAAATATGTGTGTGTGTGTGTGTGTGTGTGTGTGTGTGTGTGTGTGTGTGTGCGTGTGTGTGTGTGTGTGTGTGTGTGTGTGTGTGTGTGTGTGTGTGTGTGTGTGTGTGTGTGTGTGTGTGTGTGTGTGTGTGTGTGTGTGTGTGTGTTTACCTTGAGCACAGGTTTCTTCAGCACAATATCAGACCTCTTGGTGACTTGTTGTCGTGAGGAGAGCAGATGATGGATCAGCAGTGGGACGCTGGGGAAGCTCTCTCCATCCAGACGGTACATATTCTACTGACACAGATAGAGAAGCATTTCCAGTCAACCGATGTGCAAACACACAGGAAGAAGGAATAACTTTACAAAAATAGGCTTTTCAATTGTTTAGATCAGGGGTGTCAAACTCAATTTCATGGCGGGCCACATTAGCATTATGGTTGCACTCAAAGGGTCGGTTGTAACTTCAAGACTATATAAATATAAATATATAATAAATATAAAATAATGTATTATATTACATTATTGGCTCTGCATTGGATTATTATCAGTTCTGGTAATAACTCCATAAATAACTACGTCTGAAAGCAGAAGTCTAGGGCACATAATTGAAAGCAAATATTCAACAACTACACCAATTGTAGTGTATATTATATTCTTTGCAAGTTCTTGCGGGCCAAATAAAATGAGGTCGCAGGCCGGATTTGGCCCGCGGGCCGCGAGTTTGACACCCCTGGTTTAGATCATTTAAATAACTTGTATACATTTTTATTTTTTCATTCTTAGCATCCAGACTTCTGTTTAATTTGCATAAAAAACAACAGTGACCTTTCATGAACTTCTCTTAGAACATACTCTTACTACAACAGAAATATTCGAGAAAATACTATGTAGGCACACATTTAATGTAAAGTGTCTTTGTAGAACTCTTCACTTACATCCGCGTTCTGGATGAGGAAATGCTTGCAGGACCCTTCCCATTGCACAGAGAGCACATTTTCCTGTTTCTCTTGACTCTTCCTCACCAGGAAGTCTCCGTCACTCTTCAGCAGCTGCTGGACCTCGAGTCGGGGGATCGCTCCATGGTACCAGTCCTGCTGCTCCAGAGGGCGATCCACCTCCTGCAGCGGGAGGGCGGCTGGAGGCACCTGGGGGCAGGAAGACAGACAAGAAGAATCTTTAATGCTGACATGAATAATAAAACAATATGAAGTGATTGAAGGTGGATTTGAGGGTGATTCTGCATAGAATATATGGAGATACTTCAAAGAGTCTGTAATACTTTAAAGTCTAACGGCACCACCACCTCCAGGGAACCGTAGAGTTAGGAGTTGGAAAAGTAGTTCAAACTTAAACTTAAACAGCCAATAATTTAGGCTGGAAGTCCTCTGATTATAGACACACAGATTTTTATATTTGCTCAAGATGATCTTTTACAGCATGCACTATGCACACAGTGATTTGTATCTTTCTGACAGATTAAGAGCCGAATGACTGACTGTACAAGGCCTTTTCCTGTTGAGAGTTTGTGTGCAGCTGGCTCATAGCTCTAACTGTCAGCGAAGAGAAACGATGTAAACTTGCTGCCTGAGAAGTAAACTCAGTTTTAGGTCATGAAGAATATCGGAAGTGACTATGACCGATAAAGCTGACCTCAATAAGTCCAATAAGGCTTTCAGGAAGACGATGCCTCTAAGAAAGAACATGTGCCTCAGAGAGCTCAGCAGTGCAGCGGATACACTTTCTCCAAAACATGATGAATTGTTGTGTAGTTGAGCGTTGAGTGTATACAAACAGAGACAGCAAGTTGAAGGCAGCAAAGGTGGAGGATGAGGAAGGGAAGTGCCTTCAACAAGCTTTTTCATGTATTTCAACAAAAAACTGAGAAAATATATTGTTCTTTTTATATAATGTGAGCCAACAGTCAAATATAACCACTTGTACTCCATCTATCATTGTTGTGAGTGTAATTGTTGTGCTTTGATTGAATTCAATGTTTAACCTACCTCCCACTTGGGTTTAAACAGGCCACTTAGATTGTTTTTGATCCCATCCATGAGGAGTTTGGAAGGAGGTGGGCTGCGGAACTGAAAAAGGAAAGAAAAGACCCAGAGCACATCTTGTTGGTGAATAAATGGTTACAAATATAAATATAACAGAAACAAATTTAGATCAAAAGTACTCAAAATGGGGGTAAATAGCATTGGTTTAAAATGATGGGCTTGGTTATTATTCATTGATCTGGAGTGCACAGGGCCGATTGGAACATGAGACATTTTTCAGCAACACATTTGGTGACTTGATCAAATTAAACGAGACTAAAACTCTACTCCAACACTAGTATTTCGGTGAAGCTTTGTTTGGCGTTGAGCTAAATGCTAATGTCAGCATGCTTAGGGTGTGATAAAAGCTCTTATCACTTTCTGATTACTAGGGATGCTCCGATATCGATCGGCCGCCGATCGATATCGGCCGATACTCACTCTCTGCCGATCGGTGCTCTCTAAAAATGCCGATCACGAGAGGCGATCGCATGACGTAAAACTCATGACACTTTTCTCTGTGCGCGGCAAAACAAGCTCGCCAAAATGGCTTCACCAGTCTGGCAGTATTTTAAAGTGTCCGAAAATGACAATAAAATAGCGGTATGCAACGTGTGTGTGAAGCAGAAATCCTGCAGCTCCACCCGCTGTGACGGACCGGAGAGCGGAGCAAAACACACAAGAGTTAGACCTAACACACTTAGCTATTTTATCTACCTCTGGAACAAGCTAAACTAGTTATAAATATATGTATTCTTCACTGTCGGGTCACTCATTACTGGATCAGTGAGCTGCATGAAATGATACTGACAGGCTGTCAGGAGAGAGAGAGAGGGGGAGAGAGGAAAAGAGAGAGCATCCGCTCATTTCTCCCGTGTTATTATCCAAAGTTAATGTAAACTTGAATAATGTACTTCATTTGAATGTAATAATTATGTTGGTTGTTGTTTGTGGAAGCGCCAGTGAATGAGCCCCATTAACTGAGTTTTAAACATCACTTTAAAGGGCCCATGTCATGCTTTTCCGGTTATTACCCGTCCCCTTGTGTGTTATGAAGGTTTTTATGCATGTAAACGGTCTGCAGAGTCAAAAACCCTCAAAGTACACCCTGTAGCGAGTAAAACTCTAACACAGAAAAGACCTCCCCATAACGCCTCGTTGGAGATTTCTCATTTTCCATTGTTTACTTCCCGGGTACTCTGACCTGTGAATACCCAGAGGCCACACCCTCTGCCAGCATTTCATGAAACAAAGCTTCCCAAACCTTTCAGCGATTCATGCCGGATATGTACAGCGTAGGGCACCTACTTTGTTTGGACCAGCGGGAGATTCGGGTACACAACCTGTAAGTATTCATTGTTGTTTGTGTATTTATGAAGTTTAAAACAAACAAGGTATCTACCACGACTGTTTGGGTAAACGTTTTTCGGGCTGCTAAGTTGGGATCGCGGAGAAATGCTCTCCGCAGACCCATTCTCACAGCGTTATAAACCTTTTTCTTACTCAATATCAAGCCACACTTATTGTTTTTACTTCGGCTGTGAGTGTTTGTGTTGTGTGTGCTCAGGATGAGTTTCACTTGTTCTCGCTGTATCACCGACCAGGAAGCCTGTCCGCTCCTCGCAGCAGATCGCAGCAACGAGCCTCGCAACTTCCCGACCAATCAGAGCACACTGGGCTCACAGGGAGCGGAGGGGGGGGGGGGGCAGGAGCTCCAACAAGCCATTTAGGACAGAGAGTGAATACCGGTGAATACACATACTTTACAGAGATGCTGTATGAGAAACCAATGTGAGTTTGGAAAATTGCACAATTTAAATCTATTTTAGTATACCTCAACAATGGAAATATGATCAGTAGAAATGGGCATGACATGGGCCCTTTAACTTTAAACACCCATATGAAAAAGATCGGTTTACATTTTAATAATCAAATAAGTATGTGAACATAACCCTTTAAATGGAAGATCCCCATAGGCCCCGCCCACTCGATCTGATCGGCGATCGGTATCGGCCGATAGTAACTGATTCCGGCGGTCGGCGATCGGCCCAATTGGCGATCGGAGCATCCCTACTGATTACCCTCCGGTCACGTGATTGTGACATGTGACAATTACGTCATATTCCACAAGAGTAACATGCTGGTGCGCATCTCTATCATATTAGCTAACAGCAGGGGCGCATATAGTGGGGGGAACGGGGGGGGGGGATACGTCCCCCCCAATTTCATAGGGATATATATATTTATATTAAAAATATATATATTTTGATTTTTTTGTTATAATTTTTTTCAATATATACATTTGTTCACATGATCGTTGTAATATGCATATGTGTAATATTACTTTTACTTATTGTTAATTGTTATTCCTCTAAATTGTTATTTCCTCAAACGCCTTATGTATTATCCTTCTTGCACTTAAAGGTAAATACCAATTCATTTGTTAATCCATATACATACTTACATTGTATTATATTTTATCTTGAATATTAATAACGGTTAATATTAATTATGATTGTAAAACACATAGTAAAACAAATAGTAAGTAAATATCGTGAAAATAATTTCTCTCAGTTTCGTCCCCCCCATTTCAAAAATCTCACCTGCAGCCCTGGCTAATACCTATGCTAACATTGGCTTATTAGTTTGTTCAGCTATACAGCTAAGTACAGCCTAGGTTGATGGGGTTGTCATTTGTGTTGTTTTGGTCAACAAAATGTTGGACGATCGACCTGATGTTTAAAGAGAAAGGATGTTTTGGGGAATATGAACCTCTGTACTATTTTTCTTGGTAATCCATCCAAAAGTTGTCGAAACATGTCACTAAAATCACTAATCCACCTGCTGGTGGCGCCAGAGTGAAAGATGATCAACAAAGTAATCCTCTAATTAGATTAGGAGCTAAAAAAAGACAAAAGTTGCTAAGCCTCTGGCAGAGAGAACATACGCTGCTTGAGTTTGAAGAAAGTGAGCTGTTGTCTTGGTCGAGCTTCAGAGCAGAGGGAGGATCTTTGGAGCCCAGCTTTTCCAGTTTCTCCTTCAAAAGAAGCCTCTGAACCTCCAGTTTGGCTTTAAAGCCCTGATTCAGAGCGACATGCTGCCGGCACTCCTCCATCGCATGCCTCTTGCTGAACTGGTAGACCCTGGATGAGGCAGAGAGCAGCATTACGTCAGGGCAGGTGAATTATATGTGTGGGACATTTTCAGTGGGAGCAACACAAAGGGTTGCACTAGTCAATAAAACAACACGAGTAACGCAACACAACATCAATAAGCAGTCCATGCAAATAGGTTAGCAGATGCTTCATATTGACTAAGGCAGTCAATAAGAAGGCTTCCCTGGCGATGGCTTAGTCAGCATTTGTCCGGATTTTCAGCATGCAAGACCAGTAAACCTTACAATGACCCAGGAGTCCTGTTAGTGAGAGGAAACGAGAGGGGAGAATAAACCTGATAGCTGCAGTAACAAATATAAAGCTTTAACCAAACAGGAATGGCCAGTTCACGGCTGGATTAACCTATTAGAAGACATCAGGGGGATCATTTGCTGTTGGACCCCCAGTGCCCACCCAAACGTTTTCTGTGCATTATGCATACACAATGTGGCCTCCATTGTTCCATTACAAAAAAGCACAGCACACACTATACTTATCTGCCACACCATCTAGTACTGTGCTGCAGAAATACTAAGGTGTTCAGTAAGTCAGTCGAGGGTAGAGATAACACTATCTATTAATCGACAGGAAATGATCTGCAACTATTTGGATTGTTGCCTTTTTTCATACACAACTGCAAAAGCTTTTCATATGTGAAGATTTCATGTTTTTTCTTTATATTTATACTAAACTCACATTAAAAGTAATTATTAATAAAGCTTTCACTGTTTTCTGATATTTTTCTAACATATTGCTTGTATGATCTCAGAGTAAGCAATTATTCCAACCCCAGTTGTTTGGCTATAGATTTCAGCTTGTTAAATAGTTTTTACCAAAACATTTGAATTACATTCTTATTTATTTATTCTGCAAGACTGGATGTGAAAAACTGTAATGAAATTGCGACACTATGCCATTCCCATGCTTTTACTTCTTTATTTTATTTTAAATGGGACCATAATTTAGGAAATGGACATGATGCTGTTTTAAAGAAGACATCAAACTATAGCGACTGAGACGACAAGCTTGTCAGGAGGATGAGGTGAGAAATAAGATAATTTCCTTATAGACATCTATAAAGTAGGACTTTTTTGCAAACCCTTGCTGGTGATTAAAGAACATGCACGTAAAAGGCACTTTTTTTATTTTGCTTCACTTTTCAGACTGTCGACCTTCCCTAAGTTCACGGGTTCTCAGCTACAAGACGTCCCTCGTTAACATCATATAGCATGTCTCTGTACATTTACAAAAAGTTTTTTCAAAATAAAAATCAAAGAGCAGCATAACCTTCACCTCCCTCACTAACACCACCACCACCATATGTGCTCCCAGCTTTTCTCGAGTTTTTGCAAACAAACACATTGTATCCAGCCGACCTCCAGGAGCTTGGTAATGACTCCATCACTCCCACAGGACTGTAAACCTCCAACACCTCCAGACAGCTTCATCAACCAAGACAAATTGAGCTCCATAACTCCAACCATATCACTGTGTAATAATTCATAAGGCACTTTCAGCCCCCTGAGACCACACTGGTTATTAGCTCTGAACTCTCTCCATGGGGGGGGGGGGGGTGCCCGCAGAGAAGCAAACCTCAGTTATTTATCTTCACGGTTATAACAACAGTTTTGTGTTTATAGTCTGAAACCTCCTCTGTGACCTCTGATTACAAAATCATAGCAACATTCGGGCATTCTTGTGGTTCTGCTTGGGTCTGTGGTCCGCTCACCTCTGGCCCTTTTTCACACCTTCCCGCTCTGCGTCCAGCTCCAGCTCTAGCTGATCCACCGAGGTCTGCTGCGAGCCCAGAGTCCGAGCCAAGTTCAGCAGCTCCTCTTCTACCGCAGTCAGTCTACGAGATGGAGAATAAATTGTGAAGGGAGGAAGAAATTAATGCAAAACCGTCAGAGGAAATTGGAGGTAAAAATGAACATGAAGGGGGAGGAGGAGGAAGTGGTTGAGACAGTTAAAAAGGAAATTAGAGTTCAGTCATCTGGATGAAATTGCGTCGTTTGTTCTCACTTGTGCTGAACTGTCTCAAGCGTGAGGTCGTTTAGTTCAATCTCTCTGGATTGTAGCTGCTCAGTGTCCTCCAGGAGACTACAGTCAAACTCTGCACACGCAGGAGTCTCCCCTACAGATCTATACAAACACAAACACACAGAATCATCACTCTGCATGGCTGGCTTTCACGACTGCAGTGTTGCCATCTGAGGGGAAATTTGGCCTCAGTCTACCTGTTCTGTTGGATGAAGCTCTCGTATTCTCTGTGAGGATCGATGGCTGTAAGAGCAGAAGACATCTCCTGGTGGATCTGCACCACTTCATGATGGAGGAGAGAGGAGATGTCGAAATATTCCTGCAGGATCTCCTTTCTGGTTCAGGGGTCAGGGAGGCCACATGAAAACAGAATCATTCAAATTCAGTGGTTTTGAGGACAGGTTTTAGACACATTGATTGAAACACTATATTACATTTCTGCATTTCACAGATGTACAATATCAAACTTTTCCAGGTTGTTTATTTGCGGGCTGATTCACATCAGTGCCAAGATAATCTGCTTTCAGAGACTTGTCTGAGATAAGCAGTCCATCACAGTAAGTATTTAGATGTTTGAATACTTGTCATATTTGAGTCCTTTTAAGCGGTGTCTGTTTTGCAGACTCTGTGATCAAACAAGCGGAGACATCTGCGGTCTGACAGCTGCCTGTCAAACATTTAATGCATGAATAAAAACTCAGATTTCCATTTTTATTTTCATATAAAAGTAGTGTTTTAACGATTTGAAATGTTCTATTTATATCCAGGGTTTCTGAATGAACAAACAAGGAAAATCTGTCAAAGCCGTCTCAAATGCAACACTAAACAACATTAACATAATGCTTGGGGAGGAAATACAACTGTTAATTTAATATGGGAAAACATGTGCATGTACTGTAGTTAATTAAAAAAGTGCTTTTGAAGTCAGCATTCCTTTTGCTTTTATGTGTGTGTTTGTGGATGGAAATAAGCCAACTTATTGCCAACAGCAACACAGTAACCACTAATGTCATTCACACGCACGGTCACTCTGTGGTTTGTGTGATCTTACAGTATGAGCACCATCTCCTGCTGCAGACTCTGCAGCGCAGCGAGCAGGGTCGGCTGGATCTGACTGTAGTGGTGCTGATGGTAAACCTGAGCAGCTCGCACAGACAGCACATAGTCATTGTGCAGCTCGTGGAGTTTCACAGAAGCCCTGACGTAACGCTCTTTAGCCCTGTCTCGCTCTTTATCTGCACACAAGGGGAGAAGACATTATGTCATGTTTGTAAATGGGAATACACGATATATTAAAATAACACATGGCCATCAGTAGGGCTGTGCAATTAATCGTATTTTAATCGCAATTACGATTTTGGCCTGCCACAATTACGAAAACAACATAATCGAAAAAAACAATTATTTTGCTTTGCTAGGTTGTGACACTGAACTACAACATATTTGATCTAATTAATTTTGGTCTCATTTATTTGTATTTATCATATTTATATATGTTTAGTAGCTTGGGGAAGTGCGCTCCAAAATATTTGTTGATCTTGTTTATTGGTATTTATTATTTTGATATTATTTATTTAAATATATCATTTATTTAATATATTTTTGTATTGGTTTTTCAGTTGAATTATACGTTCAGGGTATTCAACAGTTAAAAAGATACTGTTCAAATTATTATTTGTATTTGTTTTAAAGTTCAATAAATGGATTTTCTCAAAGTCAATGAATAATCGTATTTAATAATCGTGATATCAATTATTGACCCAAATAATCGTGATTATGATTTTTGCCATAATCGCACAGCCCTAGCCATCAGTGTGAAACCGATTCTGTTGAAAGAACTAAGTTACTGTATGTCAGGATTCCCCACCTTTACTGGCCTCCTGGTACTTCCTCTTAGCCTGAGCTGCATCTTTCACCGCCTGCCTGTAGCTGCTTTTCAGCCTCTCCAGCTCTGTCTGGGTCACCTGAAGCAGCACACAGACAAACACACAGAAAATCACTCGGTGCAAGGTAAGGCGTTATTCAGAGGAGCCAGGGCCGGTTCTAGCCAATTTGCTGCCCTAGGCAAGATTTTAACTTTAAACACCCATATGAAAAAGATCGGTTTACATTTTAATAATCAAATAAGTATGTGAACATAACCAATAACCTACCATAGCCAATAACAAATAAATGTAACTTATTTTATTTTTGTTGTTCATTTATATCTTATTTCACCTTAACATTTATGTATGCATTTTGTTTAAATCTCTCCAGTTTTAAACAATATTTTTGGTTTACTGTCCTATAGTATACATTGGAATGATTTCAAACCTGTTTTTATTCATCCTAATAATTATAAAAGGTGTGCCTTGGAAATAGTGTTTACATAATTTGTGGTCAAAACGTTTGAGAGCCACTGAGATAACTTAGACTAAAGTTAACTATCTAAACAGTCCTTTACCTCACAGAGACTCCTGGTCTGACAGGAGAGGACCCTCCCTCCACCTTTTTTGTAGAAACATCTTTGCGCAGCTAGCACCAGATGCTAACAATAAGTTCATAACAATCACCGGTGTGGTGCGCCCTCTCTCTCTCCCTCGCTCGGACTCTCGCTCGCACTTCGGCTGTGAGCTGCGGGCGCCTGATAAGCCAACAACATCCCACACTTTCATCACTTACAGCGCCCATCGTACAGGGCAAATGAAACGTGTAACCGTTACCGGGGTGAAAAGGGTGTTACCTTTACTTAATTATGAATGTTGTTACATCAAGGCGGAAAATTAGGATGAGCGCAAACAGTCAAAAATGGTTTGGTCCTCTCCCAGAGGTACCAGCGCAGCGCCCCCCAGATCTGGCGCCCTATAGACGACCGCCTATGCCAAAACCCGGCCCTGAGAGGAGCTATGTGTGGTTAAGAGCTGCCTCTAGGTGTGAGCTCTGCCTGACACAGGAAGCGATCAGTGGCCCTGTTGTTTCACTGCAGAGGAGCACAAACATGAGAAAAGACAAGAGGAAGTGATCTGACATTTATTGTGCCAATACTTCAAGACTCCAGCTGATAGCATCTGTGACATTGTTGTTCACTATTGTACCACACAGTGAATCACATGAATCCAAGTTCCAATAATAATCAAAGACTGAACAATAAAGTAAGAAAATTAAAATGAACAAACTGCCTGCAAGACGGCCGAACCACCAGTACAGATCACTGAACATGAACACATCATTTCCCTGATGTAATTGGGTAATAAAAACAATGTGAAGCAGCCAACAGTTTGAGATTGCATCAAACTGCATATGCACAAACTGTTTCCAGTCTATTGTACCTCAGTTCATTTGACTGCTGTCTATTTATAATGCTGCTGCCGCAATGGCCATCTGCAAGTCAAGATTATTTACTGTAGGAGAATCAACAACTAGATTTTAAAGCAACAACTTCTGCTTTCTCTCTGATGAGAATCATGCCACATACAAAAAACACTTTACCACTAACTGTTGTACACTCATTTAGTATGCCTTAATTTAAAACAAAAATACCAGAGCACCCAGAAGGACAACACGGTAGTGAGAATGATGAAGTTGGCTAATCCCTAAACACAAGCTCTTCTGCTCAACAGCGGTTGCAGAATGCCTTTTAAAAATTAACAATAATTATTGCTTCACAACAACCAATGAATGGTTAATTTTAAATATAATATCACTTAAAATGCAAAGTAAATGTCATTTTTGTTTAGATATAACTTTAAGTAGTATCAGTTCATGGACCACATTGAAATAGCAGTGGTGTAAAGTAACTGAGTACATTTACTCAAGTACTGTACACTTTTTAGATACTTGTACTCCACTTAAGTATTTCCATTTCATGCTACTTTGTACTTCTACTACAATTTAGAGTTCAATCGTTTACTTTTACTCCTCTACATTTATTTAATAGCTTTAGTTACTTTACAGATTTCGATTAATAATGTGAAATATAATCAACAGTTAAATAAGACTTTGGTTACACCTGGAGTAAATCACAAGCTACCCTGCAGTATACAAAGTCATCAAAAATAGCTGCACCTTTACCAGCTTTGATAAACACAATGCATCAATAATTATAATCAGAACATATTATATAACATATAACATATATTATTCTGAAATGGGCTAATCTGCATAATGAGTACTTTTGCTTTTGGTACTTTAAGTATTTAGTTATGCTAAAGCTTTTGTACTTTTACTTGAGTAACATTTTGAATGCATGACTTTTACTTGTAAGAGAGTATTTCTACACACTACTTTTACTCAAGTACAAGATCTGAGTACTTTTTCCCCCTCTGGAAAATAGACACTCAAATAACCACTATCATCCATAAAGAATATTTGCACACTTTCAGTTTGTGTAGGAGGGAGGCTGTGGCTCAGTGGGTAGTGTGCTGGACTTCAAATCAGGGGGTAGCAAGTTTGAGTCCCACTGCAGTCAGCATGTCGTTGTGTCCCTGGGCAAGACACTTCACCCCAAATTGCTCCTGTGGGGATTGTCCACAGTACTGAATGTATGTAAGTCGCTTTGGATAAAAGCGTCTAACAAATGACATGTAATGTGTATGTGTGTTATTTGTCTGTGCTAATTTTTTAGAAGTAACATGGGTAAAAGTTGTATACCATAAGGGTAAACGAGTCAGAATCATCACAGTTCGATGCAGAAAAAAGCTAAACCGCTCATTTTCCGCAGTTGAGTGGTTTCATCACAGTAAAAGGATTGTCTGTTTTAAGATTGTAACCCTGACTTTTGTCATGATCGCAGGAGTTTGCAAGTAGAGGTGTATTTAGGTGTATTTTAGTGTGTGTGTGTGTGTGTGTGTGTGTGTGTGTGTGTATGTGTGTGTGTGTGTGTGTGTGTGTGTGTGTGTGTGTGTGTGTGTGTGTGTGTGTGTGTGTGTGGGTCTCACACCTTGCCGAGCTCCTGCCTCAGTAGGTTCCACTGCTCTGCGTAGGTTTTACGGAGCTGCTGTTTGTCTCTGATGACCAGCGTGAGTTTACTGATGGGACCGTCGAGCAGATCCTCAGAGCGCTTCTTCGTCACCTGACTGAGGACGTCTGTCTGAGACACCAGCACCCCCCACGACTGAGGGGCAGGGGGCAAAGGTCAGGGAGAAAAACAGGTCATTCAAACAGACAACAGGACAACAGAACATGCTTTAACCTCTGTTTGGATTTCTTTCTTAGTGAGTAATACATCTAAAAATACTCATACATTTAAAGGTCCCATGTCATGCTTTTCCGGTTATTACCCGTCCCCTTGTGTGTTATGAAGGTTTTTGTGCATGTAAACGGTCTGCAAAGTCACAAACCCTCAAAGTACACCCTGTAGCGAGTAAAACTCGAACACAGAAAATACCTGTCTATGCTGCCCCAGAACGCCTCGTTGGAGATTTATCTTTTTCTTCCTGGGTACAGTGATGTGCCCATACCCAAATGGACCAATCCGTGGAGCCGTTACGCTATGTCCGCGGAGCCGTTAGGTTAAGTCCGTGGATTGGTCCAAATGGAACAATCCGCGGACTTCCTCACACACACACACACTCAATCTTTTCTCAGCTGCAGCTCCGCCGATTTCTCCTCCCTGAGACGGCAGGATGCGGCGAGGCTGTGAGTCGGTGTGTGAGCACACACACAAACTCCCAGCCAGGCTGCGGGTGTGTGTGTGTGCTCGGGCTGGTTTCGGGCTGGGTTTTGCTGTGTCTCGCTGTCTCGCAGACGGCCACTGGGCTCATAGGGAGGGGGGAGCAGGAGCCGTTTAGGACAGAGAGTGAATACACATACTATACAGAGATGCTGTATGAGACACCAATGTGATTTTGGAAAATTGCACAATATAAATCTATTCTAGTAGACCTCAACAATGGATTTATGATCAGTAGAAATGGCCATGACATGGGACCTTTAAATAAAATGTGATGAAACAAATGTGTGGTTCTTGTCATACATGAGCCACCAAATGTTTTAATATGTTTTTCACCAATATGTTTTTCAAACTGCAGAAATATAATCGTTTTTTTTAATTTTGTTGATCCAACAATATATTGCATGCTCATTCTGCTCCATTCAGATAATTATGTTCTTAAAATATATATTTTTTACCATTCCTCTAACTATTTCTTCCAATCTTTGTAATCTTCGGTGGATATTTTGGGTTCTTAAAAAAACATGTTTTCTTTTGGTTTCCTTCATGGCATAATACTTCCTGTGCATGGTTGCAATTATAGCCATGATTTCTTTGACATACTTCGCAACAATTCAAGTAGGTGTCGGTCAAGTGTGTCGAAAAATCTCCAAAAATTCAGCAAGAACAAAAACGTTAGTATTTCACCTACAGCTCTAACTACAGCAACAAGACCAACGTTACTGTTTGTAACAGACATCTCTGTCCATCCAGACATTTGTGTTGAAAGGAAACAAATTCTGATTGTGATTTTCCAAATGATGATGAACTGAAACATCTGACTCATATGAGTTCATCATACTGTATGAGTCAGATGTTTCAGTCCATCATCACTTTTTGTTGCACAAGTAATTGAATATAATAACATATCTTTTTAAGGATGGAGGAAAAACCTTTTTTCAATGGCCTTCCAAAAGAAATTGTTCTTATTGGTGTGTGGATTTTTAACCTGACCTTAATTTTGAATATTAAATGAAGTAACGGAGTCACACACCTTCTGTATTATAATTGTTTTTGCATGAATGAAAGGCCACAGAGGGATCCCTCACCTTGTTGAGCTGGCTAATGTAGTCCTGTCCCGCTCCGGGCTGAGGCCTCTCTAGTTTCTCTGCCATGGCGGCCATGTGGTGCAGCTGCACTGAAAACTCCCGCTCACTCTTGGCCCGCTGACCCATCCACTTCTTCATGACCTCCATCAGTTGAAGCTCTGAGTCCAGCAGCCGTATGACAGCTGCATGTGCCTGGGGGCAGCGCAGATCCTCCCCAAAGCCCATCTCTGGATGTTTAAACTCTCCTCCCTGCTGAGTGTCTGTCAGTCTGTCCTACAGGAGCTCTGTGTTTGCTGCGGGACAGAAACAGAGCGTGGATATGGAGCTGCTGCTAATGACCTACAGTAGAGAAGTTATTTCTCTGTGACTAAAGACCACTTTCACTTCCCCACAACGAGTACACTGTTCATGAGAGGCAGCACTTCCTCATGTCTGTTTGAATGTGGTTATTGTTGCAATGTTTTAATCTTCCTTTCAATTTACTGGCACAATAACTTTCCATTGCACATGTATCAAATATCCACATACATTTAGAAACAACAGAAAGACACTGTTGTTTGTAAGTTTGAGAAACCGTCTCGAGATACACTTTTTGTTATATTCCATGGAATGCTCTTAACATCCCGATAGCAATGAATATCTTAAGTGCTTTGACAACAAATCCATAAAGAAATGTCATCTGTGGAAGCCGTAGTACTGTAAAAAGCACGACCAATCATTTTAGCCGGCCCGGCTAAAATAACTGGATGGCCTACCTGCCTATCAGCCTTCCATCTGTGCACAAACTTATCTCGTGCCCTCATTGGTCATGTGCACGTTCGTGTGTGTTGGAGGAGGGGCTCTGTAAGGAAGTGGCAGACTTGTTCCGGCTGTGTATTTTCAAATTCTAGCGCACTCGAGCTGGTTTCTCCAAAATTACCTACCCCACCTTTAAACACGACACACTGTGGTCACTTATGTTCATCTCTCCACCGTGTGTGTTAGAAACAGCATTTTGTGTGTTACTGTATTCTAAAAGTATACGTCACTGTATTTCAGAGGCAATTATTGCAGCTTTTATGTCTCTACTTTAATTTAACAGCAATATATTTACTTTGTTTTATGTACTTTAGCTTCAGGCATTAACAATGTTAAGTAGGCTTTAACTTCAAACAGTGATAATAAAGTACAACAATATAAAATAACACTCACAGGAGCAATTTAAATTAAATACTTTAAGTACATCGTGCCTGCAAAGCTTTGAATGCAAAACATTTATTTTTTAAAGTTACTTATATGTTCCCTGTTGGTCTTGATGCCTCTTAGTCTAGGATTTTTATTGCATCGTTTGCATAGATCCAATAATTGTTTAAAATGTGTCTTTGTGGCGTATTTGGGTCAGTGGTGGAGTTTTATTAGGGCTGTCTAAGGGTGGTATTTCATTGCAACTAAGGTAAATTATCTGAATATCTTTTTTTTTTTAACAATCAAGGGGCTTTTATTGTCTTGATGTTATACATTTCTATATGATCAGCTGTTAGCAGGTTGTGTGTCCTTGAGTCAGATGAGGGCAGGCAGCTCCATGCTACTGTACAGAAATGACGACAGAATCATTTGACTATACTTCCCAGTGCTACTTAACTTTGAGCGATGACCAGCGCAGTGAAACTTCATTTGGGTATTTTTAAGTTGCTTTTACTTTTGGACCACAGCAGACTGTAGAAATTGCTGATAATGTTTGTTGCATAAAATAAATAAAAACTTCTAATTTTCTTTTTAACCACAGCGTGAATGCAGTCTCCCTTCATTACTCGTAGTTATGACTTGTTTGAATGCAGTCTCTCTGCTGTAAACGTATTGGCTTAATTACGCCAGCCACACATCATCAAATACACTCATTACACCGAACAGAGAAGAAGGGACAGAAATGTGCTGAACAATGCAGCTCATTTCTCAAACTGGTTTTACAAACCGCAGAGGAAATGTCTGCTTTTATCTTGAGATGCAGTGTCTACAAAGGTTTCAGGTTGCGTGATGACAACCACACCGAGCACATCCTGTGGACGCTGTCGAGAGGACGTTTTAGTTCGCTAAGTGTATGTTAATCACGCTCAATAAAGAAACTGTTCTTTTATTTAAACTGTGGAAATGGTAATGAACTCTCGGAAGTAATTTACAGAGGGAAGTGAAATACATTTATTTTTAAAGCTGGGCATAGAGTTAAGCAATACTGTACAATGGACTGAATCACCGGACTTTTTAAAACTATAGCTACCACAGGATGCTATTAACACAGTGATGCATGAGTAGTATTATTAAAATAATGTAATATATAGAACCTTTACTTGTAATTCTTTATGCATGTTTTACTGAAAATACCTTTTCAATAAATTATTTGACTTGTTACAGTATTTGTTCTGGTACTTGTTCTTAAAAAGGGGTCTCACTGGTTTTTATACACAGACCTAAATCAAGTCATATCTACTTGGACAGCATTTAAGTTAATAAAAACACATTGAAATTTGCATAGATCTTTATTTTTTTAGTAGAATCTATAATTGACATCAATTAAATAAAAAGAAGAAAAACAAGAGCGAAAAAATCTTTAAATTACAAGAAAATTACACTGCACCGTTCATATAGTACAAAAATAGGCCTTATTTTAGAGTTATGTCTCATGTAAGATAGTCATTCTTGTACATTATTCATAGGTCACATATCTGTAAGGTACTGTGTGCAGCCACAGGCCGGGTTCCTCTGGAGAGGCGGGGGGTCAACAGCTCCTCCCCCATCACAAAGTGTTTCATTTATACTTAATCAAGCATGTGTACACACAGACGTACGCAGATCTGATTGAGCCCTTAAGTTAATGGAGATGGGATACATTCTGCCTCCTCCCTCCACAGCTGCTGAACAGACAAAGTGTCACAGCACATCTTCAGAAAATAAAAACAGAGGTGACAGATCAACAAAAACACTTTGAACACGGGTGAAGGGGCTCGATGGACTGTGACAACCTGAAAGCAACACGTCGTAACACTAAACAGACAGCATAAAAATGATTGTCTTTGGTTATGCCAAAGATATTGCTCCGATTAACTCCGTCAGACTTCATATTGATCACTTCAGACTACATCCTAAGGCAGGACTGAAGCAACATCTGCTGAAAATAATCTGCTGCAAAAAGAGAACAAAAACCCATCTTCCTTTATAGCCAGAGGAAACAATTTGTGACGAGCAGATTTCTGTAACATTCCTGTTACTTTATACATCAAAAGGCTTCACACTGCCGGTGAAGTGGCAGCCTTTTAATGATGAGTTGCTTTCCGGCACAATTAGAGACCTTTTTATTTTCTTAGTGTGCTGTTTCCATCTCGTTTTAGCGGTAAAAGTAGTGAGCTGGCTTCTAATGGTGTGCTTTGGAAGCACTAGCTACTTAATGCTGCCCGCATTCATGATTTCTCTCCAAGATGAACACTTGAATGCACAAGGCTTCGAGTTCATCAGTTTAAGGTTTTCAGAGTTTTCAAGCTGTAGTGGATACAACATCAAGAAAAGATGAATAAATCATTTTGTGTGTGCATTCGAGGGGACAAGAGAACTGCCTGAACACCCTCCCACATGTTGCACTCTTGGAAAAACGTTATTCTTCCTTGAAGCTATAGAAATCGTTTGTAAGGGGAGATGCACAACGTTGATAGCGTGAGCATCAATACTAATTGTATTAGTCAGAGTCCCACATTATACTCCTTCTAAAGGAGCGCCCTCTTAGCATCTAGACTTTAAGAACAATATTTTATGGAAGCAATTTTGGTGCCAAATGAGCCCATTAACTGTTGTTTACAAACTTCACACCAAGCTGGGAAGTCAATAAGATTTGTTGCAGGAGTCTGAGGCTGTATTTATTACATTTTTTAAATTAGCACCACCTTAAACTGGGGCTAATCGAATAAATGGCACTAGGCACTAATGTACATCTCACAGAGCTATGCAGCACACACTCATTTATTCTGCAGCCACACCAGCTTTGTTCTTTTCAACGGCACTTTCTTTGAATCTACTTTCTCAGGCGGGTTTCCAATCCTGTTTAGTGCTTCCTGGCTGAAACTGCAGCGTTAAGCAGTCCACCTGCACGGCCATCAGAGATGAATTAAGCTTCCTGGCTCAGCGCTGTGTTTGAGATACAAACCAATCTTTCGCCATGCTTTGAAACAGGATGTGGGAAGGTATTGGTTTAAAACTCTTTATTCTCTAACGTTTTTCTTTCTTTCCCTCTCTGAACACGCTTTTACAATTTACATTTACAATTTACATTCAGCTCTGAATATTGTTATTATGAATTATACCTTCGGAAAAAAGATTTTCCAACTAAAGTGGTTCAATTCAATCGATTAGTTTTGTGTGCTGGTGCACTTTCTCGCCCTGGAAACAAGGGAATTATTTGATTGTCAGTGACAGGAAAAAAATGCAGTTGAAACTTAGTATGAGAGATGTGGAAAACAAACGCCCCTAACAATTTGAAAAATGATGTAGCACTTAAACGCTGGCCAACAAGATCTATGGACAATCCTTCCACCTCGTTCTATATCCAATAACAGCTTTTACAGCCCAGGTGTGACTGCCCGTGAATGCTGATCCTACAGGCAATGCATTTCTCAAACATTTACACAGCAGTGTTACAGTTTCTGAATCGCAATTGCTTCCTTCTCTTCAAATACATACATTTTACTTGGGTGCCTATTCTCTTAAATCTTTCCTGACAAGCATTTTCAAAACTGACCTACATATAATTCGACCTCTATAATCATTTAACAGCTCCTCTAACAGCGTACGAGACCTCGCTGGATGATATGAGAGGTAGATTAAAAAAAAGAAAAGAAAATAGGATGAGCAGCTGCAGTTCTGAATGCATGTCATCACCATGACAACCTCTCTCGTTTTCTGTGCTGGAAATGAAAAGAATAATCATAATTTCAACATGGTAGAAAGAGCGGGCTGTGTATTCAAAATGGCTAAATTATGAGATGCACATTTGAGATGATAACCAGCCCGGGAGAAAAGGAATTACTTTAAAACAATTTTCCCTAAAGGTATGATTAAAAACCCCTCCGAATAAATAGTTGCTGCAGTGTCATTCAGAATATAATTAATTGGCAAGTACGCTGAAGAGATAATCTGAATTTCAGATTAGATGAAGACTGGAGGGTAAGTGAAGAGACGCTGATGAGATGTGGAGTCTCCACGCACGATTTCTGAACAGCATTCAAGATTTGAAGAAGAAAGCGGAGACTAAAGCAAAGGAGAAAAGGAAACCTTCACTTTAGAGAGCAGATAAACATCTTCTCAACACACACACACACTGATAAAGTTTCATTCATTATGATATGAGGTGTGTCTCATGTACGATTGTAGTGCTAATGTTTTGTTGAGTCTTCCGTCATAAATCAATCCGACTCAACAGCTGCCTTTGAGAAGCTCTTGTGCTCAGCATCACTCTGTTCCTGCTTCTCTCTCCGCCCCGGGATGTGAGCACTTCAAACACAGAAATCAAATATCCCTGGAAGCCACTGTGCCTCCGGGCTGATCGAGTAGCCTGTGTGGTTTATTTTCTGCCTTTTAATTCATCTTACTTTTGGTTCCCTTCCACATGGTGGTTGTAGAGGTGAAGAGCAAAAGGAGAATTTATGGTTTTTAAACCGGGATAAATTGAGCTCATCTTGAATCCCTAAAGGCTGAACGAAGCTTTGCTAGTGGTGTGAGTCACAGTTTGTTCCGCCAGAGAGAGATATTTCCAGACTTTGTGTTCAATAGGAGAATTAAAGCCTCCCTTACTACAATAGTATAACATATTACATTTAAAAAAAGTGTGCAAGATGGATTTTGTTTAAAGTATATAATACAAAACATTGTCTGGTCATAAAGAGAAACAAAACCAAGAGGCCCTCGGTCTGTGTTGCTTCTCTGAGAGCTGGCACAAGATTAAAAATCATTATGGTGTGGACATTAACTTGTCAACTATTATGCTTCTGATTTGTGCATTACACTGTGACTCGTTACAGATAAGAGGTGCATTTATGATCAGATTTTGGACGTTGATGTCACTAAACGGTGTTTCAGATAGAATCAATGTTTCCTAATCCAATTTTATGCCTCGTAATAAAAATGTTTGCTATCACTTTTGGTTAATGTACTGGATGTGACAGGACCGGCTTTAGCTTCTCTATAAAGGGCAGTACTCTGTTCATCAGATTTACACGCTCGCATTCACACAGACACACACACACACACACGTCTCTACTCCTCACATTCAACAATCTCGTCTGGCTACTGCACTGAGACTGATGGAGAGAGAGGGGAAATAATAATCATTTGTTTACTGTAACAAAAAGGAGCTGGGGCTGGAGGGGAAAATGGACTCTGCATGGACATACATTGTTAGTGATTGAGGGCAAGAGGAGGGAGAGAGCCAGTTTAATAGAAAAGCGCCCAAGTATGAACAGAGCAAAGCTCAGCCATCCCAGAGCTCTGAGAGACAGAGGCTTCCCATCAGGTCTCCTACGGCACATCCTGGAGCAGGACGAAGAAGAGACCCGCTAAGACAGAGACAGGGGAAAAGGGATGAGAGATAATGCCAGAAAAGGCTGTGAGAGGGCAGTCAGCACAGCCATGAATGATCAGACAAATGAAAGTGAGAAGACTTTAAAAGCAGGAGAGAGCGAGGGATGAGGGGGAGGCATTAAAGAGCACTTTGTGTTTTGATAAAGGCAGTCCTCTCATTGTGGCCGTCGAAGTCTTCGTTGTCAGAGTCCGTGTTTATCACGTCATCCCCCCACACTGTCGGGATCCCGCGGTACGACACAACCCTGTTTCCGCCGAGGCTGAAGCCCCCCCCGAGGCCGCGGCCCCCCTCCAGAGAGGGCAGCTTGATCTGAGCGCCGGAGCGCAGCTGCAGCAGCAGGAAGGTGCCGGCGAAGGTGGCGATGATGGCCATGCAGCTGAGGACGGCCACGGTGATGGGCAGGCGCGAGCTGAGCTGGAGCTGCACCCCCGGACTGCCCTGGCTCGCCATGAAGCTGTCGGGGGACTCGCGCATGTACTGGTTGAGGTGCACACAGGTGCCCGAGGAGTCCAGGGAGCTGTGGGGGGGGCAGGAGAGGCAGGCCTGCGGGCTGAGGCTGCTGCAGGTCAGGCAGGGGGGGGGGCAGGGCAGGCAGGCGGGGACGGACGCCGGGGGGATGAAGTTTCCCACAGAGTAGTTGACGGGCTGGGAGCCCAGCGAGAAGCCTGCGGTACATTCCTTCACACAGCCCTGCTGAAAGAGGTAGTAGCCGGCGTTGCACTCTGTGAAGCAGAGAAATAAAAGTGAAATTAAAAAGCTGTAATCATATGTGACGGGGTTCTATTGGTCCGTTTTGTAAACATAGGCTTAGTCGGTTGATTTAAGCTCAAAACTTTATTTATAACAACAACAACAAATATATACTGTTTGACAATATTGAAACTTAAATAAACGAAATCAAAGTTACCAAAATGAGGTTGTCTATCACTCATCTATGGAGTAAACGCATACTAGCTGTTGCCTTCGCTGCAACAATCTCCCGAGTCCAGGGGTAACACCGTCCCTCATGAACCCATAGCCCCTCCCCACAGGCTTACCGTCAACCGGTTACACAATTAATTCAAAAAACACATTGTCAACATAATTTTAACCCCTCAAACATGAGAAAACTATACAACCCAAACATAAACAAGTTAACTATCTCATAACACAATCATCACCCATCATTAATAAACGCAAAATAAATAATAAATTGCATGTTTCATGACATCATATTTAAACCACGGAAGTGATGCGCCTCCGTCTTTTCCACATTCCCCTTTGCTGGGGAGACGGCGGCGAAACTCCGTTCGCTGCCCGTCTCGCAAGTATCGCGTACTATAGTTTAATGTATGTTTAAATAATTGTAGACTCACTAGCGTGCACTCATGGTCGCGCTACAGAAAGGGAGGGGGAAAAGGGACGTTTAGTGATGATTTAACCTTATTTATTGACGAACGGAAGAGAGCAGGAAAGAGTGTGTGTGTGTGTGTGTGTGCCGCCTGCTGTCAGTCCGCTCCGTCACAACATCCTACTGCTTCATATGAGTCACACAACACAGAAACAGAGAACTAGGATTCCTGCACAGACAGTCGAGGCTTTTGGGGGACGGCTAAAAACACCATATGTCATGGGAGTTTGTCGTTCCAGTGAGCTTCTCCTGCTTATTATTCCTTCATTGTTTATATTTTAAGATGTTTTTAGCAGGAGCCAAATTATCTGCAGATGTCTCTTCCTCGCCAAAATGATATTTAACATTTTAGCACGATGTGTCTGACCCACAGGCTGTTTAATTACCTTGGAAGATGCGAGTCTATTCTACTCTCAAGTCACACCTTCACTTTTGTTAGGGCTACTTTTGCTTACTAAGAAAACTGAGGTTGAAAAAAGGTTTGCAATTAAAATGCTGAGTGCAGCATGTTTAAGTCAACAGAGCCATTTCCATATGCAGCAGGTCCAGATGCAGACCATCGCCTGCATTGGCAATTAACAGACTGAGGGGGCCGGCGGTACAGAGCTAAAAACAGAGGAACCAGCAGACGAAGGAAACATCTGATTTACTGCAGCGTCTTATCAACTTGTTTAAAATAAGAAAAAAACAAGACTTGTGATCCTTAAAATATGTGATACATTATTTATGATATGAAATCACATATATCATAATTAAATGTTGTCAGTATGTAAGTACCTCTGACAGCCTGTAGGGGTCAGAGTGGCTCTGCTTCACACAACGTGTAGGTGGACCTATTGTATACATTCTTGAGACCTTGCCTATAGCACTGTTTGGAGAGCTAGGAGACCATTACAATTAAATGAGGTTATTAAAAAGGGACCTGCAGTAAAACTGTATTTGATCTCATCAGAATTTTGATCTTTATTCCATATTTATGATGCGAGAGCTCCATGACGTCTGTGTGAATAGTCTGAATAGGGTAATTGTGGGATTTTCAGAAGAGCCTGCCCACAGCAGACGGACACACATGGGATCATATTTCATCCTGTTCACAAGTCACATCTCAACATGACTCCGTAATAACAATCCCCCCCCCCCGCTTTGAGAGCAGCTCTGTGAGGAACAAACTGGGGACAGAAGATACTGGACTTACCGATGCATATCTGCCTCAGGTCCAAGGTTTTGCAGTTGTCATTGCCAGACGGGGCCTGTTCAGAGGGGCTGGAAGAGGCTAAGCCGGTGCCATACAGCACCAGGATGAACTGGGTCAGAGTGCCTGAGCGGAAAGATAGAGAAGATAAAACTGTGAAATTAACCGAGAGACAAAGTAGGCCTGTCAAAAACAGTGAGGCACTCCCGAGGGTGGATTTCATAAATGTATCCTCTTCTCATTGTAGACTCTTGGATTTTCTGCATAAAGTGACAGTAAATGACTCCTTGAAATGAGGTGCAATTTAATGACAGTATGATTTCACTCTGTGCCTAATAAGAGTTTTATAAAGTGCACGTCTCTGAAGAATCACTCAAGTGTGGGGACTCGTGAGTGGTTCCACTTTAGTAAATCACTTCTTGCTGAGGAGGGAGGTGTGAGGCGATTATCGAGATGGTTTTTTCCCCCGGTTTTCTTGGCTTCGGAGGACCTGATAAGTCCGTGTGCAGACGGTCGTTGGTGGATGATCCGAGCTCAAACTGAAGTATTGAGGAATTCACTCCACTGCTTTATCATATTCCCTGCTATAAGAAAACTGATTGCTGAGGCAAAAGGCACCAGTTGATCTCTTATCTCCCTGCACTGAGTCCGTAACCCTTGAGCCGAACTCTAGACTCAACAGATGAATGCGTGTGTAAAACAACATTTAAGTAATGTCCTTTAATGCCCTCCAGGTGACCTCTCAGTTAAAACTCAACACCGGATGTTCAAATCCACTTGTTGCCTCTCTTCCCTCTGATCTCTATTGTCAATATCAAATAAAAATATAAAATGCCAAAGGAAAGTATAAATATACACATTTTCTTTTTCTTTATATGAACAACGTAAATGTACTCATATAGTAATATTGCCAAATAATGTACAAATAATTTGCATAGAAAGGATTCCATCCCAAGCTGTTTGATACATTTAAGCTGTAGATCATTCTAATAAATTACTACTCAAATTAAAAGATTGAAAACATTTTCTAACAACACTGATCCAGGCAAATGTATTTTTAAACTTTTAAACATTAAATTGCCATTAACTTTGCACATCAAAGTCAGGATTTAGTATTCTGTTTCATATTGTGTTTCTCTTTGGCGTCGTTTGTGTTTGTCGGGCTTTGGCTCTTAATTTATAATAAAATGATTAGTTTGGCATCGGAAAAAAAATTATTGGCAGTTTTTTTAAATCGTTTTTTTTAAGCCAATATGTTTCTGGTTCCAGCTTCTTAAATGTGTGGTTTTACTGCAATTATTTTCAATACAAATTCTGTAGCTTTTAGACCTTTGGTCTGACCAAACCGCTAAACATATTTGAAAATATTTAACTGAAAAAAAAAGAATAATTTATCAGAAAAGCAGTCATCTAATTCAATGGAATAAAATAATCATAATTTGCAGGAATATTTGAATCTGGCTTTAAGACGAAAAAGGATAAAAATGAACTTGGACAGCTGGTACATATTAATTTCATGAATATTTCAATGACAAGGCTTACCATAGTCACTGGCCCCTGCCACGTTCTCAATCTCCAGAGTCCAGGCCCCGCTGGGCTTCTCGTCCCAGGAGTGGGTGGTCATGAAAGCCCAGTCGTTGAAACCCTCTGATGAGTAGTCATGAGGCCTGCCGGAGAACCACAATCAAGCAGAGTGTGAACATCTTGTGTGCATGGACTTGTACTGTATTGTTTGTGTGTTTGCGGACTGGTGTTTGCACCTGGGGTGGAGCAGAGTGGAGCGTGTGCCGGAAGGACTGATGAGGTGGATGGCCAGGTTCCCCCTGCGGTTGTAGGACAGCGTGAGCCGGGCCTGGACGTGCTCTAACGAGGTCACGTGACTGCCTGTTCCCATGCAGGCTTCTACGCTCATGTTAATCGACAAATGGCTGCCAATGTTCCTGTCAAACATGAGAAACGACACAAAGAAGATGACACATGAAGACAGCGTTGTCGTTGGTCGCAGGTTGTGTGCTGCTAAAATCATTACTGGCTCGGTCTGAGCTCGTGATAAGCTTCAGTCTGGATAAATGTGTGAGTGTGACATTTGGCTCGCTGCCAGTGTGAAAGCTTGCGAGGGGTGAAGAGTTTGTGGCCTTGAACAGGATTAGCGTCTCACAAACCTGTAGCAGCAGACAGTCTGCTCTCTTTGAAAGTACACACTTCTTTTTACCTCCTCGCTTTTGAGATAACACTCGTACACAATATTTCTAAGGAGCAGGAAGACTCCGGGTTTTAGTGCCAAAAGGGGGAGTGATCACTAAACTGTCACGCTCTTTAAGAAGATACATTTTTCATGATGGATTAGAAGACTACATAAATGCCTTTTACCTCCGTAGCAGCATCACATTGGAAAAGTCCAAAAGGTGAATTTAGAGCATTTTCTCCAGTAGATGCCAAATAATCACATAGAGGCTGTCCAGGTTATTTTTGTGATGCAAATAAGTAGCAAAGCTGCACTTCATCATTTGCATGTTCGTGTGCTATTGCAAAATGTATTCTGTGGTGTTTCTACTGTAGGGAGAGCCCGACAACAGGAGAGAAGGAAATGGAAATCTATACAAATGGCTGCTGTAGTCGATTTATCTTGGCCATTTGACCGCTGCAGCACAGGCATCTATGATTTAAGGTCTGGGAGAAGCAAAATGTCGGGCACTGTTGCAGACATGGCATCTGTTTTTACCAGCACACACAGAAAGAGGGAGGGAGGAATATTAAAAACCTACAAACTGTGGAAAATCAGTGATTGAGAGCAACAAATCAAAAAGGATTACATGTTTGGCTCCTTTAATTGTGATTAACACTTCAGTAGCAGCCACAAGGGGAAACACATCAGTGATTGTTACCACTATTGTTGAATACAGAAAAGTAAAACAAGATTCCTCCAAAAGACCAGCATTAATGAAACAGTATTGTGTTATTCTGTTTAGTTTCCTTTTGCTTGAATGTGTGTTTCCTCTGGGATTAAGCAGCTCACAGGAGATCCTGTCTAATGCATCACGGAAATCTATCAATCACACATTTATCACATATTGAAAATCCTTTATTAAAGTCTTTTTAAATGAAATCTGCTTAAAGCAATAATCCTGAAGGGAAAAAGCTGTGTATTTCATTCCAGTGTTTAAAAAGCTTTTCAGAACCAGCAACAAATATTCTGGGAGGCAGCCAAACCTGAAGAATTGCCATCCTTTTTGTGGTTAGCACGCTCCAGAGCGTTTCTAAATCATAAATCACTTTTTGAAAAGCTTTGCCAAAGCTTCCAATTCATGCCGCACTCTAGCTTTGCAGTAATACCAACAAATGTTGCAGACCTGGAGGTAATTTGCATTAATTTACAAAATCCTCTTTCAGAGGACTTCCAGAACAAGGTGAGCTCCCACATATGGCTGTTATATATAATGTGGAAGTAATAGACAAATGGTAATTGGACTGCATATATAAAGCCCCTTTTTTAGTCTTAGAGACCACTCAAAGCGATTTTAAATACAAACCACCTTCACCTATCCACACACACATTCATACCCCGGTGGCAGAGACTTCCATACAAGGTGCCAAGTGCTCATCAGGACAGATACAAATGCACACACACTCACACACTGTTGGCATCGCCATCGGGAGCGATTTGCAGTTCAGTATCGTGCGTGCCCCACGGACGCTTCGACATGTAGCCTGCAGATGTGAAAGGTCAAACCCCCAAGTCACCGATTGGTGGAGTACCTGTCTACTTCCTGAGCCCCAGATGCTGATTTATTTGGTTAACCACATGCTTACAGAAGCGTTACTTCATGCTTTAAGGCACAATCTATTTCCAAAAGTAAACACGGATATGCCGGCCGATACAACTCCATCAATAATCTGCAAACCCCAGGCACTCTGAAACCCATAAACAAACCATACAGAATAACACTAAACTCAATCCTCTAAAGTTATTCATTCATCCTTTCAACACAAGGTTATTTCAAATATGAATCATAATTATGGTCATAATGGTGTAGTCCTGTAGTTTCCCTGGAAATATGTCCTTCTTGATCTCACTGTTGTGATTCTGTAAGATGTAATCACTGGTTAGAATTGACAATGAGACCAACACTGAAGCCTTCGACGTATTTCAAGTCGCTCTTGATAAGTGAGTCAGCTAAACACCTCAAATGTAAATTAAATAACCTGCCTTGACTGCTGCGCCCAGACGCTCAAACCATCTGCTCTGAGCGTCTCATAGCTGCTGTAAAAGAGAGAGAAACCTCAAACCCTGCGAGGGAAGTGACAGGGAGCGCATAATGAAGAGAAGATGTCAGGCTGGGTTTAGACTTTGACATCGGGGAAATGAAGGGGAAAAAAAGGCAGAGGAGAAATATATAGTCTGAACAGTGAAAGGAACACATGGATTGACAAATTACTATTTATTTTAAATGCTCCCCTTCAAGCAGAGTGCCTGGCACACAAACAACAACACGGAGAACTTCAGCGTGCGCCCAGAGCTGCAGATGAAGACATAACGTGTCACTGCAGCAAAGCATGGTGGCTCGGTTACTCACGAGCACCTGCGCTCTGTTGTGGACCAATTATCCGTTTCTCTTATCGCTCTCTGCTGCTCAAACATCTAGGATATCACGATGAAGCTTTATTCACACACAGAGGCTACATCAAAGACATGTTTAATACACAAATTGGTTTTCTTTGTCTAATTTCTTGCGATCAAATTCGTTTTATAATACGTTTGGGTATTTATACTGTGCTCTATGTGCTGCAGTATCGTAGCCAGGACCCTCCTGTAGTGGAGGTTTTTGTGCAAGCGAGGCACTTTTCTGGTTTAAAGGTGAGCTCCAGTGATTTAGTATTGCAGTTACATAAAGTTGGAGGACTCACAAGACAGATTAAGAGAGTTAGAAGATCCTGATTCCAGAATAATTTGTCAAGTTTAAAAGCTTCCTCCTGAACACAGTAGGGCTGATCAAAATCCTACCTGCTGATGAAAACTGTGTGTAAATGTACGCATGTTTTAGGTATTTAGAACATGTGACTGGGTGGTGACTCAAATGCTGAGGCACCTTTGAATGAATGGACTATTCTAAAATGCAGTTTCAAAGGTTGTGTTTTTGTGTGAGTGCTTGCGTAATGTACCTACCTTGGCTCACTGACCATAGTGATCACACATTTCCGCTGAGGCCTCACATTGGTCCACGTTTCTGCCAGAGCAACGATTGCACTGGCATCAAGTAGACCGTATCCATATGAATGGCTAACTGCAGATACCAAAAAAAGAAAGAGGAAACAGACACATGAATGTTTGCCCTCCCAACTATAACTTAACATCGACTAGCTGCAGTGTGTATGTTATCTAAGACTTTCACACAACGTATTCCAGGGCCTCACATCTCCATTTACAATGTATCTTTTCAGATGCATAACACGTGAAAGAGTCTCAAAGGGCCTGTAAACTGCAGAGGGCAGGAGAGAACTCTGAAGGAGCTGCTGTACCTTTGCGTCCGACCCCATTGGTTCTCCAGTCGTTGGTGAGCAGGTGGGCAGGGTGAGAAGTTCGTACAACCAGATGTTGCATGTCCCTCCAGGTCAGATTTTTACTGGAATGTGCAAGTACAAACAAAGACACAAACACATAAAGAGAAAGACAGACACACAGAAAAACATACATTGTGAGACTTTTAAACAGATCAAACATTCGTGTTAACCTGCAGATGGACAGCTAATTTAATACAATGAAGTACGAGTCACATCTTAATCTTCTGTCAACATGTGTTTGAACTCAATTTGAACCCTGCAAAACATATGTTTGTTGTGCTTTTCCTGATTTGTACGGTCGGAAAAGGTTACCGGAGGACACAGATGAGTTGAAAAATATTTAGAAATATAAAGCCCATTATTTACTGACTTTCTCTTTTAATCCGTTCCTAATTGCAATACTTTTGCCGCCACAAGACTAATTACTTCCTTTCAGGACTGTTCTGACGTTCATGTTTGTCTCCCCATTAGTGCTGCGTGACTGGATAAGAATCATAAGTGCTGTTTTTGTAATTGCACTGTAAAAGTCTACCAGGCAAAAGGGGTTAAAAGTAATTCATAAAACAGGATAATCAGTCAGAAATGATGCATAAACATGAAGCGCCTGCAGTTAAAGCCTGATTAAATACAAGAGTTTTACATTTATAATCAGGCTTGAAAAAGAAAATTATTTTACCTGTTGTCATTAAAAGAGCAATTTGCTGTTAGCAAACCTCTAACTCTGTGCTATAAAACTGATAAGAGGCAATTTAGAAATACTACTTTTCTGAATATTTGAATGTATGCAGATTCTGACGATGAGTTTGTTTTGCATAAATTAGATATTTTCAATAGCATATAAATGTTTTAACTGAACAAAAATCATAGAACTATGTAGAACGGGAAGTTATGAATGAGGCTGTAAAGCTGAAGAGAATTGCGATGCTTGGTAATTGCACTTACTTGGCCTCAAGGGCAAGAGCGATGATCCCAGCAGCCAGCGGGGCCGAGGCGGAGGTGCCTGTGTGGGAGTCTGTGCATTTAGATTTGAGGTCTGTAGTCACCTAGGGAACACAAACGGAGAAAAGCTATAAAAAAGGCAGCTCAGCCAAAAATACGAATTCACCTCATTTCAATGAGCCAAAAAAAATCTATTATCTTATATTCTCCATCACTTCCTATGTTACTATCTCATATGCATTTGCTGGAGGCAGGAATCGCCTAACAGTGAAAGATGCAGGAACTTAAGAGCATAAAGTCCTCAGCATGGCTCCCTAAACCAGCAGGAAAATCAAAGCAGGGAAAACGTATAACTTATGCTCTCCCTCACTGAACAACTACCAGTGAGGTATCTTTGAGCAAGAGTCTTTTCAAATCAAATGCTCCAGCAGAAATCTCCTCTGTGACCCACAGCGCAGGGCTCTGGTTGTATCGGGCCGCTCCCCGGAGAGAAACTCTGCAGCTGCATGAATATAAAATGAGGCGGTGCAGAACAGCATGTTTGTAGCAAAACTTATCTCGCTGAGGATAAAGGTTGCAAAACACTGCTTCGCTGAAAACTCCAAGTGCGATCCTGACCGGGAGGTCAACCTATGTAACTGAATTAGACGGATAGAAAAAACGTTTGAATCAAGAATCTGCTCCCTGTGCTGACCAACGCACAGACTCCAGAAGCTGATATTTTCACTGACTTAACAGAATCATAAACGCACTTGCAGAATTGCCTTTAATGCTTAAATCATGCATTCAGGGGCTTACTATATGCCCATATATGTAAATTGAAAGAGAAGGATAATATAAGTGAAATAAAACTAAGCAGACATTGAAATATTCGCTCTAGCATAACCCCAGAGGTCCCACCCACTCCTTTTTACTCCATCTCTTCGTTCCCAGCTTTATGAGTGACAGCACAATTAAATGAGTACAGCACTAAGGCATTAAGGGACCAGCCACATGTCATGGAGATGTCAAAAGCTGTCTGTCCAGTAGCTCTGGCTGCGAGACTGTTAGCTAGAAAACGGAAGAAGGTACATGTGTATGATTTTGTGTGTGTGTGACAGGAATATTAAGCAGCAACAGATTGCCAGACGGAGTTTCAGCCGTTCACTATTCATAATAATTTAATGGTCCGAGACTGAATGAATTGAGAAGAAGACGAAGAAAAGGAGGACAGAATGGGGAAGTCATGCTGTGGATCAGACAGCAGGTTCAGATGAAGCTGAACAATGGGCTGTATGTATGGAGCTGAAAGAAATACTCCATTAATCACTAAGTCCTTTCAGATAAAAATCAATCAGTAACTATTTCGACAATCAATTAATCATTTCAGTTTATTCAAGCAAAAACTCTAAAGTTAAAGCTTTTCAAATGGGAAAAGTTTCTGGTTTTCTGTGATAGAAGGCTCCACTTTGGATTTGGACTGCTGGTCAGACAAAAAAGACACTTGAAAAGCATCACATTGAAACATTTGAGACGTTACATTTGAATATGTTCTGGCTACTTAAAGACCAAAAAACAACAACAGTGTTCTTAATATAGTTTGCTATGTGTGTACTTTTTAAAATGTTTTGTTTTATATTTTATGTATGCGCCATGACATCAAGTCAAATTCCTCGTACGTGTGAACCTACCTGGCAATAAACCTGTTTCTGATTCTGAAAATAATCGGTTTATCAAGAAAATAATTGGTAGATTAGTCGATAACTTAAATATTTGGAGCCATGTTTGTACAAAAGGATAATGCATTCGATATACATTAAGCTGCATTCCTAAGGGGTTTAACAACTTTGAAAGTATAATCTGGTCATAATCTCATCCTCTTGTATTTAATCCTAACCACTGCTCATAAACTGTGGCAGTTAATAGACAAAATATTACTTCGATATACCATTGACTGAAAGTGTGATCATTGTTTAGTATACACCCATTGTACATTTCAAATTTTAAGTTGTCAAATGTCTTGATTTGCCCAATCAGCTCCTTCCAGTAAACTACAGGGTTGAGCTCTGCTTAGATTTACAGCATTATGCCAGCAAAAACCGAGGAGAGAAGGAATAAAAGCAAGAAAATATGGAGGTAAAAAACAATAGTTCAAAATGTTGAAAACAAAATCAGCTTTCCAAACTTTTTAGGAGGACAGAAATGTTTTTTTAGACTTCAAGGATACAGCCTTGATAATGTATTGTCATTTAAACATTTCATCATCTATAATGAAGCTGTGGATAAACTTCACCTTGGAAATTAATAACCTACCTTTTTTATTCTCAGCACAGAGATGAAAGCAGAAGCTCAGTTAATGAGGGACACAAGGAGAGAAAGACAACAACGACTCACTATCTGTTTCTCCTTAGGGTTTCCAGAGCTGTAGGTGGTGGCCAGGGTGGAGGAGCAGGCCTCGCTGTACCAGGGGACGTTTCCGTTCTGGGTGGAGCTGCTGATGGACAGCGTGTAGATGCTGTTGGTGTAGCCGTCGCAGTTACAGCTGTCCAGTTCCCTCCCTCCGTTCCCAGAAGCCCACACAAAGATGGAGCCCAAACCATTACGACCCTGCAGGACGTACAGTAGATTTAGAAAAACAAAAACACGGAGTCTTTTATTCATTCATTCATGCCTTTGACCAGGAAAGGACAAAATCTCATTAAATCTTTCATTGGAATCCCAATTATAGGGAGGAAATTCATTTGAGGACTCGTTTGAAAAGGGGCCCGTTAAAAGGCAGCATACATCACAGAAGCTGGGGTGGTCACTCAGTAAATTATACACAGCTAAACATCGCAGGACAGCAATGCAATACAGAAAGGCTCCATATGACAACAGCTCATTGTGATAAATCATCCAACCTCTCAGCCTTTGAAGTGCAATAATTTTCATCTAAGAGCCGCTTTATCGTATCGAGTGAAACCATTTCTCTCGGCATTGATCAAGCCCGGCAAAGCACCACCCACAACAACATCTGACAGCACTGTCACTGTGGCAATTATCTTAGTAGTCAGTGTCAGCGCTTTCAATCAGCTTTGTGGCACAGGCCCGGAGTCCTACTGCTGTATAACAAGAGCCAGTGTGAGAGTGGATGGGTGTGTTTATTCATGGTGTACTCTGATCTATTCGGTTCACTTGCTCGTTTTACATATCTGACACGGTCCTGTGCAATAAAACAAGCGCTGCCATAAACAGCAAGAGTGGTTTTTCAAATTGCCATGTTGTCAAATGCTGACAGAAGAGTTTTCAGAATGACCCCTTTTTAAATCTCTGCAATATGTTTGAAAGTCTGATTATTTTTACTCAATAAGTTCAAACGTAATAATAGGTTTGAATCAGTAATTCACAGACAACGTATGATTACAATTATTTATTTTTCAGACACTTCAGTCACACTTGAATGCCTGTGCTGACTGATTGAAAGAGTTGAGAGATAAAAGAGGTTGCAATTAAAGAAGCACCTTTCAACTAACAAAGACTTTTAAAGATTTTACTCCGTGGTGGCTTTTAGAGGACATTCCCTTCCATTCATAATTGTCAGGGTCATAAATTGCTTTGTTCTTCCCGCTTGTGTGTCCTCTCATGCTTGAACAGTTCAATTACTGGCTGCTAAAAGGAAGTTACACACAGGCAGTAAATAATTTCAGTCTCACACAAAGATTCTCAAACACAAACCTCTGTAACTCCACGCAGAAAAGCTTCTTTGGCCAGTTTGGCAGGTCCGTCCACAGTTTTGCCGTCGTCCTCCGGGCCCCAGCTGGCGCTGTAGACGTCGATGTGTTGGGGATTCAAACTGAGGGACTGGGCCTCCACCATGTCAGTCACCTCTCCGTCCAGCATACGCACACCTGAATACACAATGACGAAAGGTTTTCTTAGTACATACAGATTTTTATAATAATAATAATAACTTAAGGGTAATAATATAATGAAAACCTAATAAACATAGAACCAAAGGGATTGGAGAAGAGACACTTGGCTACCATAACAAACACAAATCTCTGGTCAGCCAAGTTGCACTTTGAGTAATAGGTGCCAGCTTTTGAATAGAAACATTAAAGTTACAAACCAAAAATTAATATCTCTGAAGCTGTTGCATCAATTTGGATCTTTCCTTAGTTGTTCTAAATATCATAACTATGAGTGTACCAAGGTTTTATGAGTGCAATGCCAAATCAGCACTTTTCTTTACCACAAAAAAGGCCACAATAAAAAATGTAAAAGATGCTGCAGGTGTTGAGAATCTCAGGAATGTGTAGCTCTTCTTAGTCTGCAGCTCAGTGATGTATTTTCTGGTGTTGAAGCTGATGTCCAGCATCGTTTGACATGTGTTAGAACAAACCAATGTTGCTGCGATGTAGTCAGAGTAGCATATTTACACTCTTGTTTGCAAAGCTAGACATTGTCTGTGTGCATTTGTACCGCTCACATTAGACTGCACGGCACACACTGCTGGTGTTTGTTATTTGTGCATACACTGTGACCTTCTTATAGCCCCCACCATGTAAATCAATGCTGTCGCTTTGGCGCTTGAGCTTGTTCGGAAAAAAACTGAAATATAAGAAAATCCAGTGCATTGTGGGTGAACTGCCTTCGTGAAGTTTGCAGCAGACTTCAGAGGCAGGAAAGTTTAGATTAACAGATGAAAGACAACATTAGATGTCTCTATGTGTCTTGATGGAATCAGTGTAACTGTCCAAGTGTAAATTGAATCAGACTTAATCTTATTTCTAAAGAAGTGAACAACTGAGCCAAGGTTCATTGAGATCAATGGTTATTGATGAAGTGATGTTCCACAGATAAAACAACAGAGCAGGGAGGGCATACAGAGAGTCGGTGCTTGTCCTCAAGTTCCTTCACAGAGGGAGAGTGGTGAGATATCAAAGACACCTGAAAAACAAACAAATGTCTCCCTTTGATGCATTGCAGGTCAGGTTACTCCATGCTGCTCTATATGGGTTAGAGTAACCAAGCATGTGCTCTTTGAAGTCCTCCAAAAGCATCAAACAGGCTAATAGGGTTTCCATGGCAGCATGTACTTCTGCAGGAGGGCCATGTTTTTCATCAAGAGGTTCAAGAATTGTTCAGCCCAAATATCCATCTATCCCGAGATCAGGAGCTCATGGTAGATCGCTCAATAACTGTCAGATCATATTGAAGCTTAAGTACATTTAGCATTTAAATGTACCAACTACTGGGGTTAAAACGTAAATGATAGTATGTTGTCGGGCACATCTCTCTATATACTCTACTCTCTATATGGGATTTCATTTCATGCAGGTAAAGAGCATTCTAGCACAGTTCAACTTTATGGGACATACAGTAAACGTATTCTCTTTCTTACAGAGCTAAATGTATGGCTAGGTGATTATTACATTTGTATCTTTCAATGGAATCATATCATGATGAAATAAAATATATTGAGATGTGTTACAAAAGTATGTCGTCAAAAAATAATACTATTACTTTAAATTGATCAGAACATCTAAGGGAAATATGTTGAGCTCATATCATTTAGAGACTCGGTTTTGTTTGTTACTTTACGTTCAATGTGTTATATATTACCTAATCAAGATATCAAATGACCTATATCATGATAGAATATTTTGGCCATACTGCCAAGCTTTATAGATAAGACCAATTGTATGTGTAGAGCAAATATGAGGCTACATCTAGTTAGTTAAGCTTAGAATAAAGACTATTAAAAACGACAGGATGTGGTTTGATATGAGGCTGCAGAATAAAACTACACTGACAGATATTACAGCAGTATCGATCGTCTCATCTAACTCTTGGCAAGAAAGTCAATAAGCGCCAACCCCGAAGTGTTGAACAGCAGCTCTGAACAGACAACCTACTGTTTAATTAATTGGACTTTGGTTGGAGCTGCATTTTTATTTCAGCTCACCTGAAACTCTACTTTTACTCCCAAAAATCTGTGAATATTGGAAGATCCAAGCCAGCCAATATGTGTTTGAAATTGCATTTGAGATATTTCACAAGAGTGTTTTTCAGCTGAGTGATGAGCTACAGAACGGCAGGTGGCATGGGGTCAAGTTTCAAGTGATGTTGAGCGAAGAGGATTCACAGAAGCTTTTGCACCGCTCCCTCCGCATTCCCAATATATTCTCCCTGGCCACTTAGATGAATAGGATGGCCTGAATAAGTGCTGCTGCTTTGGATTTAACATGACAGTTTGAGTTCCTGCCTTTTGTTTCTGCTGTTCTGGAGAATGCTGCTTGTCGGTCGGGCTTCCAGCTCCGTTTTTTTAAGGACTCTTGTGTGACTCTGTGAGTCTCAGTTTAATGTTCAGTGAACGTTCGGTATGTCTAAAGAACTTGTGTTTGAAGAAAAAGGCCAAACTTGAACCTTAAACCTTTTTATGAGGTTTGATTACCTTCAGAATTAAGACATTAAAATTCAAGGTTCAAATGTTAGGGGCAAGTTTTGAAAGTAAATTATACCTGAAAATAATATTTGAATAAAATATTTGTATAACCTAAGTTACAATGTTTCCAGTCTGCAAAAGTTTATCTTGAAACTGATTTTGTGGAGTTGGCACTGCCAGGAAGGACTAAGAAAAACAAGATCCATATTTAGACGACATGCTCTTTCTCTTGTCTTGCTTTAGCTAAACTTCACAGCCTTCAAACTGTAGAGGAAACGCAAACACAAACACGCTGAAAGATTTCTATGTAGTGTCTGTTCTTTGTTTGAGTTTGAGTTTCTCACCCTACCATCGGAGAGAACCTTGAGTGTGGATAAATCCACATGTGAAGGATTTCACAGCACTAGGCCTCCACCTACATGATCACACACAGCCCACTAGTCATTATAGAGAAGCTGAATGCCGTGCTGTATATTCCCACTTACCATCTGGAATCATAAAAAATATTTTCTCTATATGCCACTATAATGAGGGGTTCGAACTTTATGAGAGCTAAAAGTATGCCGGAGGCTATTGAGATAAGCAGAGAGGAAATGAGAAAGCATACACTGGGATAAAGCCGCTCCTCGGTTAAAAAGACAACACAATCCTGGAGTCAGACATTACAACAAACCCTCAGCACAGGAACAAGACATAAGCAATCACAAATATAAAACACATGTTCAACTGTACCAGTGATGTGACGACACCATCAACTGACTTTAGTCTTGATATGTGGCTTCAACTTCATGGAGGTAATAAAACCTCATGAAATAATAAAATAAACTGTTTACAATGAGAAAATAAAACATACAAATCAACCAAAAAAAGCTTCTTTGAAGAACGGGAACAGAAACTACAAAACTGTTCCCCCTGTAGGCAGTGAGAAACAACTCTTCAGGGTGAAAACTAGAGCAGCAAACAGATTAATATTTCATAATATTTTTCCAGTCTCACATATTTTGTATCTTCTCATAAATGAACAGATTCCCCCGTCTGTTTTGTCAGATCTTAAACTCAAGTGTTTGTTTTATCTTTGTATTATGCCTGATTGCGATGAGGCCTAAAGCTCGCTGCAAGATTTGTAGTAAAAAAAACCTGCAAACACAGTTAATTCAGTTGTGATCCCTTTCTCTTTTTCTCCATACTTGCCTTGTAACTACTATTGTGATTGTCAAGTAATATGCCATTCATTTCTCAGCTAATTCATTTAACAAGAAAATGTTAGATACAAATAAAAATAACTCATGACAAATGTTCAAGAGCCCTACATGTATGTGATGTCTGTAAATATCAATTTATAAAGATTAAAAGCAGCTATTCCTCACATAAAAGAAGCTACCACAAACATATATTTGGCATTTTGCTTTAAAAATGACAACGTTTGATCAATTATCAGAGGAGTTCTTCGAGTTTTTGTAGTCAATTAACCAACAATGAGAGAGGCAAAGCCCGAAAGAGAACAGAAATCAATCAGACAAAAAAACTATATGGAAATGAGAAACTTGCCCACCACCCTCTGCATGCACACATTGAGAGGTTGACTGACATTGGGAGATGACATTTGATTGGCTAGACACCATCAGATTTAAAGCATGCATCACTCAAGAGCAGCAGGGGCTGTCATTAGAGCGGGGGGGGGGGGACGACGACGACTGAGATCCTGCCAAATATGTATTCTGACTAATCTTATAGTAGGTGTATGGCCTTCAACAGACTATAAAAATAGCAATTTTGAATTCATACCAAATCTAAAAGTTTACTTTCTCTTACTTTAGAGACCACCAGCACAACCAGATATCTGTAAAGAGTTAACGCTGAGGCAGGGACATAACTCATATCATGTTCTGCCTGCACTAAATGACCTACTGGAACATTAGAAGAGAGTTAAATCAGCCATTTGAGCATTACATTTGGCATTCATTTAACACAGATTCCCTAAAAGCTATGGCACCAAATCATTTCTGAAACTGCGGGCCACTGCTTTTTCAATACTGTTACTCAGTGATGTACTAATAATGTTACAGAGAGTTGGCAATCCCCATCACAACTGTGGTGATGTTCAGACAGATTCAGTGGCTTGCTGTGCCTGGGAAATCGACTGAAAATAACACTGGCTCTGCAGAACAAGTATTTCAAATATTCTGGCAGTCAAAAAAGAAAACAGAGATAAAACCGAGGTTTGGCCCGGTGAGATTAAATCAATCTTCCAACTGTCTTTATTTAACCTCACCTCCAATCTTGGCATTGTATGCCACACCGACTCCGCAGATCCCGTTGTTGGCTACCGCTGCCACCTCTCCTGCACATCGTGTTCCATGCCTGCAAAGGAGGAAGAAAGCAAGAGGTAGGTTTAAGGAAACTATTTATCCTTGTAAGTGTAATTCCCTTTATAACAGAACATTTACTGTATACACACAGACAGGTAGTGTACATATCTAACAGCGGTTGATTGTGAGAGAATGTGCTCCTTCCCGCAGAGGTCGTGCTGCAGACCGTGGTAAAACAAACTCATGCAGACAGCTTCTTGGCTTTCATTCCTTTAAATACATCTGATTCCCATTCGTCTTAAAGAAAACATTCAGCCGATAAGTGGAGACTTACTGTAGTACAATATCTATGGCTTTCTAGCATTAGTAACCTTGAAATGCCTACAGTGTCGGAATCAAGAGAAGGAAAAAGGGAAATAAGATGACATAGCACCGTCACACACGGGAGGAAATTGAGAATTAGATTTGTCATTTTCCCAATGGGTCTTTCATTAAGCCTGGGCCTCTGTAGTCAAATCTAGCTCGAGGCAGTGCAGTGTGGAGATCCAAGAAGCTGCTACAGAGAGGCGGATCATCACACTCCTGTCAGGTGCATTCCCCTGGTCTGCCAGATGGATGAATTTCAAACCATGGCGCAATCCCCACTGGATTTCAGCCATTCCCAGACAGGAATGCTGGAGCCAGGGCAACACTGTGCCGCATCAGGAAACAACAGAAAAACAGAGGACCCTCACTACTGAAGGAAGCACCAGCAGGCTTATATTAAGGAGCTCTGGGTATTCAGCCAAACCAAATACACAAACATCATCAGCGGCTTCCCATGACACACAGGTTGTATCTGCTCTCAGGATATTTTCATTTCCTCTGAAGTAAACCTGCCAGAAGTGCTATTATGCTAATGTCAGTATTAAAGGTATAAAAAAATAATTTCGAACATTAAAATAGAGCAAACAATTATTTTCTTTGTAGAGATATAGTGGATTAATGTCAGCAGAGAATGAAGTCAACCCTCCATGTGTGTTGTAATTAGATGCCTCTGTGTTCTTTGTTTATGTAGCCAGGCCGGCTACACAGGCATTTTGTGCTAATGAGTCCCTGTTTGTCCCACTGGCTAGCTAATGGCTGCCACTCGGTAGAGGACTCAAACGGCGCCTGTTACCACTGATAACATTGTGCTGTATTTCCTGGGTAATGCTCACCCTCCGATTTCAGGCCCCCCTGGTTAACACTGTTAGATCCGTCAGCAGTGTTAGCATCCTTTGCTGTTAGCTTCAATTGCTGCTGGGCCTCATTAAGCCAGCGCCATGTTGAGAGCCTTGAGCAGGCAATCCTTCAATCATATGTATTCTCTGACTGTCCTACTAAGCCTCTTTTAAGAACTCATTAATTAACCATATTGAAGTAGAATTTAAACTAGAGGTCAGAGGTAACAGAAGCCTCAACCCATATTTATCGACCAACTATTTGTATTAACATTTAGGACTTCTGCTTCCATTAAAGACAAAGGTATGATGACAGAAGGTCAGAGAATTGTAATTCATCTGCCGGTCCCTTCGACACGCTGATGAGCAGAGAGGGTGGAGGTTAAAGTCAATGCCACAGTCAACATTGGCACCGCGTCTCCAACGTGTCACAGGAAGTCAGTTAGATAGAGACAGAGCCTCAGCTGCAGCATGCTAATAAAAACATATTTATAGACACACACACAGACAGACAGACACACAAATGTCATCTAGACGATTTTCCAGAGAACCTTATCTCGACATTCCTGAAAGTGCTGGCCTGTTGACTTTGGGAGCCGTTTGTCCTACAGCGTCCGTGTTTGTGATGCAGCGGATGATAAGGAGAGCTCAGGTGTCTGTGATGGGATGCTGGGCATGCACAGGCTTATACCTCCAGTGTTCAACGGAGACGCTTTACAAATCTTCCTCTGACACATTCATTACAGTCACTTACATGGTAGACTGATTCATGGAATACAAATGGTATTGGAGGTAAAGCTCTCGCTTTCTGAATCTGATTATGCAAGAACGACTTGCATAATCGTGTTTTTGGGAGGGATTTGATCCGGGGAGAGATAACATGGATACAGGAAGATATCCTTTTACAGCTCCCACTCACTGTTAAGGTCAATGTGAAGAAGAGTGCATCTCTGGGTCAATTTTTCTCGTGAGAGCAGCCCTCGCGTAAAGGCAAAAACAGATATTCTAAATAACATCAAAGAAAACCAATAAAGAAAACAAACATTGAATAAAGATGAAGATGATAAAAAAACGTACTTTAACGATTTACTCTCTATCGACAAACCATGATCGTCTCATCTCACTGGCCACCTATAATGGGTAGCCTACTTTTTAAACTCTAAAACTAAATGTAGTCCAGCTCCAGCACAAACAAGTGTGAAATTAGGTAATTGTTTAATATAGTTGGAATTTATTTAATGCTAATAACAAAATCAAATATGATAACATTGTTTATCACAGTTACATGCATACTACATATACATTTGTAACCCATTATGATTCTTCATTAAACTGGTTACTTTTAAATTATTGTATTTCAATTATTATACATTTCACACACTGTATAAATGTTAACAGTGTCCAGCCCAATTCCCTAAATGCAGAACAACACCAAATATAATTAGAAACCTGTGGAGCTGCCAGTCTTTTGACAATGAGGCCAAGGCATGACTGAATGACTCAATTTGTGTGTATTCACACATCTGTACTGATCTGCTGACATCACATGAAACCAGACCTGGATCCCTCCTCCAGGCTGAGGTTCAGAGAGGAGGCTTAAGAGGTGACAGCACAGCAGTGATCACATGAAGTGCTCCAGAGAAACAGAGCTTGTCTGCAGGGACAAAGGGCTGTCTGTCACTACAAGTACAGCATTGTTAACAAGTCACACTGATTAATAATCCCTGCTGTAATAACTACCTAATAGATTGCCTGACACACTGAAGGACTCTCAGACTTCAGTCACAAGGTAACAGAATAAAGTAGCTCACTATGTGAAACAACACAAATTAACAAAGAAAAGTACGCTGTAGTGACTAATTTTAGCAGGTATACAATAAGAGATGTTTAAGGATTCATAATATTACATTCTGTTAATGGTTGTACTTCAGAGCCCATGCAATGACCCTGTAATTATCCTACAATTAAACATTGCTGTTCCCTTTAAGAACCCATTTCAAGTTTTCCAATTCTTTTGAATCACTTGTCTATCGATTCTTTGCAACAGTCATGTTTCTGAAATGATGACGTACATTTTTTTTCATTTTTCATTGACTGGAGCTATTGGGAGGAAAGAAACTCACAAAATTGTTGCAAGAATAAACTTATGTAATCTTTCTCCACCCAACAATTGATCAGGAATTGTAAATGGAATTGGTAAAGATGAAATCCTATCAATTCCCTAACTACTTGCTGGAAATAAAAGTTGGTAAACACTTCCAGTGTGTACTAGAGATATCTAGTACTTGTAATTAGCACCGTCATGTTGTGCTTCCTCTTGTCATGTCTAGACACAACACGCTGAGATACAATTAATAACCCACTGGTATAGAAAACTAAAACTAAACGAAGCAACCACCTATTAGTGTGTGCAAGCATCAGTCTCAAAATAACAAAAACTGTCCCAAAAAGCCCATAGGTGCATACAGTACTACCTGTACTGCCAACAACTTCATGTTTCATGTCAACAGATTTACTAAAGCAGTTGCAATGTGTTTTTTATTTGAAACACTTAATGCCTAAACTTATTCCTCTGAACAAAACCTTCATTGAAAAAAAACCTCACTTCTTGGAAAAGAAAGTTGAAAAGGCTTCAAAACATGTAAAACATTGTCGTCATACGTAAGGGTGATAATAGGAGATTAAGGTGAACAAAGAGCAATTTAAGTCTTGTTTCAATTACAGCGAGAACAAACCCCGTGGCAGATTCTAGGCACAGAGACTGACTCGGGTTACAGCAGCTAAAGTCGGCTGCAGGCCCGAGGCCAACAACACTATCAGTATTCATACGCACAGCTTGCAGAACCATTATCACGTGCAGAACCTAAAACACCCCTCTCTGGAGGCTTGCTAAAGAGACATGCTATTGTCATACAGCTGTAGTGCAGAGATGGGGAAAGTGTTTACCCAAACCTGCACTTGGCAAATGGTGCATTACAAAAAAGTAAATGGCACAAAGCAGCTTTTGAGCTCATTATATAAAGAACTGATTCTGCGATTTTTCTTGTGCTACGTAAACAGCAATCCTCTCAGGTGCCCTGTGCAAAAAGTGATACTTGACAAGTTCTAAAAGTGGCTCCTGAACATTGAGATACATACAAATTAGTGACTTTACCACAAGATGGCTGAAAGGACATTTAACCAAGCAGACAAACAAAGAAAAAGACCACACTATTGCTAAATTATTATAGCTGTTGGTATCAGAATTTAAAACATTTCATTAAACATTTATATCAGAAGGATTTTTGTGAGACTTCGAAGTTGTACACTTGTAAATTCAACTCATAAATTCAGCTAAAAGCTTTATCAAAGCATAACCATTCAAGCGAACAAGGTTCGACATTTCAATGAAATATTTATTTGTCCAACATTGCATTGATCTTTTTATCTCTACCCACTTCTCTGGCACACAAAATCCTTCATTCCCTGAAATTGTTTTATCTCACATTAACTTAATTTCTTTAAAAAAAAATCATTGAGGCTCTTGAGGCCCTGCATTGTGGGTTTTGTTGTTCATTAGTCTCGGGGTTGCACTAAACCACAAAGGTAAATTTGAACAAACGTTGGGCTCTGCTTATTCTTAAGTCTCTTAATGGTACTGCCAGGTTAGTAATGAGCTGGCCGTTGGGACAAAGGATGAGAGAGGGTAATATGAAGGAAAATATCCAGGGAGATATTAATGTAGGACCGTCTGAGAATGAATCAGTCTGCAGTAATGTTGAATAGGGCCCTCTATCCACCGCTTGGCAACTCATATTTCTGAATTTACATGTACTTTAGTGTGATTCAGACTCCAACTGTTTATGTTAAAAGTTAGGATTTCTCTAATCAGGAGGCGATAAATTGAATATTTGTCCAAAAAAATAAATAATATATATATAAGATAATAGTACTCCATCCCAGTTGAGCCAGTTTTAATCCAAAATATGCACATTTGGACACCGTCTTGATAGGATCCAGAGGGGGTAAACCCTGGAAAGTAAAACATCTAGATCACATGCCATCTTAGATAAACATGAGGGTGAATGGCCACATTGCTACCGAGCCATCCTCCCTGCTGCCCGCATGCTGGGAGAGAAAGGCGGCCTTGTGGAGGTGAACAGAGTTGTGCTTTCTGCAGGGAACAGACACTTACTGTCCTACAAAAACCTTACGCATTTTCATGCCCGCCCACGGGTTGTTTACACATGCATCTGCACCAACCCAGCGTAAAGTGAGAGAAACTGGCACAGACACACAGCCGCACAAATATTCTCGCTCTAAATTGGTCCTGCCACGAGGAAGACACGGAGAGCCGGCTGGTAGGAGATAAGGGCTGAGGTGAGTGAGGGTTAGAAGGAGGTGCAGCCAAAAGCAGGAAACATCAATAGTGAGTGTCTTAGCTGGGCTCTGGGCCACTAGGAGCCACCAGAGGAGCTTAAGCGTGCATTGGCACAGATTTTAGATCTGTGGAGCCGGAGGGATGTTCTCGCACATTCTTCCACAACAAACGCCATCATTTAGGGTTTGGTTGATAGTGACGGTGAAAACTGTTTGAGGCACTGGCACAAAATCTTGAACACACAGGGCTGAATAAGAACACGACAACATTTTGTTTGCATCGATTCCATGTTTATCAAAACTTTTACTGATTATTCTGTCTGTGTGTGGGAGGTTCTGCCTCAAAGTAATGCTCTCTATTTGAATTATGAGAACAACAACACAGCCTCTACAATCAGCCTCCACCTCTCATAAGTCTCACAAGCCTTTAAGGAGTTATTACAGCATTGGCGTAGTTACAGTACGTGTAACAGCTGTGGCTATCCCTCAGGGCGCCATATTCATGGTCCCGATTCTGGCCCCCGTCTCTGATGGCGATGTTTTATTTCCAACCTTGTCGAAGTATAATCTCTCCTGCCCATCACCAGTAATCATGGTGAGCCTCTAAATAAAAAAGCCTCTCAGGCCAGTTGCCCACAAACAGCAGATTACAGCGAATCAGAAATGAAAGTCAGACCGGAGGCAGGCGCTGAGAATGAAGGAAGACGATCAAGGGCCCTCCAGAGCCAAGAGATTTTCTCTGCTTCATTAATGCTGATGAACTTAATTTAATCAATTCTCTACAAGACATCACTGTGGTGGTAAACAAGTCCTAATGCCATCTGCAGAGGCTACTGCAATAATGCTGTTTTCTTCACACACTACCCTAATCCCAGTGTAGATTTACTCTCCTCACGCAGGCTTTAGAAATAGACCGGTGGCGCCTGTGTGGTTTAACAGGCCAGAGCAAAACCACAAAAATGTTGTAAATAAAAACCAAAATATCTTTGACAAACCCCATAGACAATGGCCTTTAGTTAGTTGTGTTCACATAAATGGTGCCCCAGCCATAAAGCCTTTTTATAAACAGCTATAGGTATCAGACAGTGAGGGGGACAAATTAGAGAACATTTCATCCCTCATAGCCGGCATTTAGAAAACACAGATGGGTTCTGCCAGGGAAAACCATCAGGCAGAGAGAAGAGTTAACATTAAGTTGTTATTTGTGTAGATGTGTACCTGTTGTCATTCAGCTGCGTGTATCGGGGCTGGGGATCTGGGTCGCCATCATTCACATCGTAGCTGGCATCCGGGTCCTAAATAAAGGCGCAGATAAGCCGTTATAGTAAGACAGTCAGTGTGATCCATTCAAGTACTTAAATCTATCGTCTACATGCCAAATGCAAAACCTTAAAATCTGTCTGTATGTAAATCGTTCTAAATATCCATCAGCCGCTCAGTTTCAGCACACATACAAGAAGAGACGATTTGTTATTGAAAATCTGCTCTATTATCTCCATTCTTGTCTTTTGTTATGTTTCTGCTGCCTAACAGCCTCACTGTGGATAACAGAATGCTTTATTTAAGGAGTTATACTCACGTAATTTTGCATTAGGTCAGGATGGTTCTTCTCTATTCCATCATCCAGGATGGACACCACCACTCCTTTACCTGTGTAGCCCAACTCCCACGCAGATCTGGCATTCAGGTCACGGTGGTTTGGGTTGTACTGAGGACGCAGAAGACAAGTTGCTTAGATTGAATCCAATTATCTGATAGACACCTGATTGCTTTCAAGAATGTGCTCTTAACTATATCTGGACTGGCATACTCTAATTGTTAAGCAAGGTGGATCCATGACCCTTAAAGTGTCCTCAGAGTTACCGCAGGGGGAGAGTGGGCTAATATTATTATCACAAATAAATTCATTTTAGTAGAAATAAAAAAGTGGTTTGCTTTACACAGCTTTGTTGATAGTTTAAATGTTACCCATGAAACTCAGTATTATATGCCCCATGAACTATTTTATATTTATGCATGGCACTTTAGGATGACTTAACATTATTGTTGGGCCAGATCAATATGCGTATTTGATACACATGTAGTTAGTAACTCCTTCTCTCTTTAAGCTATGGGGTCTTTGGCCTGAAGAAACATTTCAGACGCCTGAATGAAGACATCTGATGAAGACTGAAGCACGGAGGACAAGGGAGCAGCTAATTTACTTCAAGTCATTCTTCCTTAGTGAAAAGCTAAAGTTTCTAATTGAGTGGGAGAGGGATTGGAAGGTTACAGAGAGCATCTCTCCCCTGAAAGCATCAATGCCATGCTAGCTTTTATTGCATTTATTATTAATACCAACTAAGCACAGGTGACCTGGATCGTGGCACACTAATAATTCGTTATGCTTTTTGATATGATTTTGACATTCAACTTGACATTTGGTTAAAAGTCATTTCTGGCTTTAATCAAGATCAAAGCTTTTCTTTTTAAAGTGTGCCTTCAATTAAATATAGTGTGTCTGATGCACCACTCTTAGATTCTAGACCTTTTTAAATGCAGTCAATCAGATAGGATTATGTTTTGTTCTTCAGTCTTGTAATGTCATTGACACCATAACCATCAAGAATAATATCAATTAAATCTGAGTTGTGATATTCACTGCTGATTTAAATTGCAAATGCCCTCTGCGGCTAGCAGGCTGAGTGTATAATAAATCTGAGGGGCATGGTAATGTAACATTTTAAATATTGCTCATCAAGTGAGTCCTTTTTCTTCTGTAATGTCAGTATTCCTTCTGCACACTCAAGCCTGTGAGCTGCTTTGAGGCTTGACCATGATTTACAATGTCTCATCATTTAGATAAATATCTGAACAATATGAACTATTCATTGTTATAGCAGGTGTTGACCATTAGCACCTGTCCACCAAGGACACCACAACAAACACACCCACTCTCTCCTCTGGACAGCCAGGTCCACTTTTTATGAGGCACAGGGAGAGATGCCTAAAACCTGAAATCCCCCGTTACATCTTTAGACTTCTGAACATCAAAATAAATGATCATCTGTTTATTTGCACAGTGTGTGACCTTGTCCACAAGCTTCATCTTGATTAATGCTTATCAATCTGGTTTCGTTTGTTATCAACTAAAGTGTTCACATGCACTTTTGTTAAGAAGGGGACATTTATATTCTGCTTAAAGCACATTACGGAATAATAAAGAGTGGAAGGATCTGAGACTAGCAAGGTGGTGCTCCAGTTTTCAAGTCTTTTGCTGTTTTAATGAGCTTTGCAATCTCATGGGATGCCCACATGGACTTCGAAATAGAAATCAATCTTTATTTGTATGCTTCCCACTCACACAGGTTCAGCACCTCTCTAAGAAAATACCAGAGTGCACCGTGTTCATAAATATCAGCAGATTAGGTTAAGTAATCATCTTTAATATGTTTCTTTTATTAGACGTTTGTTATCTCCCTATGTGCCAGCAAACGATGGTGAAGCTCCATGGATTATGTGATAAATCCATTAAAGACTTCACAGCACCTATTTTGGTAATGCAAACCAATTAAAATGACTCGCATGTGTTGCCTGTTTCTGTGGTAAAAATGTTTATGTATGATAAACAATGATAGTAATTTTTGGTTTTAAACTGTTGGGTGGAAAAAATAATTACTTTTTGATGGGCATTTGTTCTCATTTTAGAAAAACAAAAGCATTAATCAATAAACATTTAGCAGATTAACTGATAATGCATATAATCGTAAGCCGCAGCTATAAAAGATACTAAGAAATCATTTATTTTTGCAAAAATCCTTTCCATTAATGCATCAAAGACGGATTATTATATCAGTGAAATGCTAATAACTGTAGTGGATGTATGGCACAATCTATGTGGAAACATTAATGCAACCAGGCGGTCGGCTCTTATCTGCTCATTTGCCTTTCAAGTTGGCGCTAACTACTCCAACACACAGGGGAAGTCAGTCCGCCTCCGTTAGAGTACAGACAGTTTGAACAACTGCTGATGCAAGTCTGCTTTGCATCACCATGAATTTTCTTCCGCCTGAAGCAACTTCAGAGTAATTGAAGGAAGAGTGGAGCCTAAAAGAAAATCTTGGGGGTTGTTACTGCTTTTAAAAAGGCCAGCGTATCAGTCACCTTCTTCAAGTCAAACGGAAAAATCAATCAACTGAGAACAAGAACGATTCAAGGTGAATCACCTCTGTCTGTTCCTCTTCCTTCCCTCTTTGTTTCTTGGAGATACAAACAACTTTAAAAAGCATGCAACACAGAAGTCAAAGGCACTCTGTGTGTGCATGCATGCTGTTGCTCATCTGAATCCTTCAGGTGAAGTCACTTAGACTTTGAGTTCTGCAAACAAGACACGCCACAGCACTTTGCACAAAAATGGCATATTGGATTCATACACGCTTGTCTTTTGACTCGGGGGAAACATCAAACCCCCAAATTTAATTAGGTTTATTGACTTTGGGTCGATAAAAAGCTCAACCACTGTGCAGCGCTGAATAATGTCCCACCGACGCACACAGAACACACAGCCTTTTGTTCAAGGTAGTTTCTGTTCAGCAGTGTTTATTCTCACCAGGTACCACTGGTCTCTGAACTTGGGATCTGATGGTTCTTGGTAGACGTCCCTCTTTTTCCTCTTTTTCGACACTTGTTGTTCAGCCCAAGTCACCTAAACAAGGAGAGCACAGACACAGACATTAGCAATACAAACATGAAAGGTGAGGTGGTGCTGGACAGAGAGAAATATAGCCGGCCACAAAGGCTATTTCAGAACAAGAAATAATTATGTGGTAGGGACAAGGATCAACATGTCAAATGAATTCATAGAGATCTGAATTCTCGTGGGACGACAGCAGACAGAGAGATTAGAGGCGCAGCAGTATCGCCGGCTCCTCACTAAATGACTCGCCCAGGAACTCCAGAGAAGCCCACACTAATTACAAATTCGGAATTAGTGTAAAGTCGGATGCAGCAGGATCAGTACAAATCTAACGACACAACCGTCTGCAGCAGGCTTTCATGTGTGAGCTACAGCAGAAAATGTTGAAAGAAGCAAAATGCAAACGGTGAAAATAACTGCATCCCTCTCCCTCTGCAGAGTTTCGCTCGCTGTATAGAAAAAAAACACCAGAGTAGACGAGAACAGAGAAGAATATGTCAGAGACAGAAGACAGAGAACTGCCTGCCGCAAGGACAGAGCACCTGGTGTGAAGGACGACCAAATCACAGCGCACCGCCTCTGCAGTTCACTAGAGACAGGAGTTTCAAAAAGGAAAGAAGCAATGAAGGTCACATTAGCTGCTTCACTTAACGTTGCCAATTCAAAAATGATCACAATATAACGGCATAATGGAACAACGTTACTTGAAGGAGCAGGGAGGAGTGTGTAAAGGTTTGTTTGTTTTCTGCTTTGTTAACCGGTGAGAAGCTCAATCAGCGAAAGTGGAGGAGACGTTTCCACCAGGATTCATCCCACTCTGTCTGGGAAGATGAGGTCAGACCTGTGAGGTGCAGTTTCCACAGAAAACTGGATGACAGCTTTTACACAATGAACATGTGCACTTAGGCAGCGACACAATTATTGGCCCTGACACAGTCAAAGAACTACTGCTGACAAACAGGGATGGATACAGAATACGTCTAAAAAAAAAGAAAAGGGAACTGGCACTATTTACTTCTGCCGTTGTCAGCCTGAGGAATTTTACTTTTGGAAGAGAAATCTAACCTGCCACATTCAAAAATAAATGCCTGCCTGTGTCCTACTGCTGCATTTTATTCTAGTAAATTATCTTTCAGACACACAATGAAAAGTTAAAAGGTACATCATGTCGCCGAAAATGTACAACTGGTCAGAGGCTGCTTATAAGTTGGCGATGCAATAACTGTATATTTAATCGCCAAAAATGACATCCGTTTTAAAATAGTTGCAAAAGTTACGAGATGAGAAAAAAAAAGAAAAAGTTATATTGCTTCTTCTAGCACCGATTCAAATCGTGTTGAATCTAAAATGAATGCCATGATATCGACAGCTCAATCTCATCTTCACTGAATCAGTAAATGTGTGTCTTGTTAATATCACATTTTTAGAAGGAGAGCTCCAGAACCACAGAGTTTCACAAAGATGTTCCACAGTGGCATTATTACTACGTCTAATCAGTTTGAGATCCAGCTGTTGACGTGCTTCTCTCACTCAGGCTTTAATATTGGCTTTCTGTTTTAGAGCAAATGACTGATAAGGATCTCTACATCCTGAGTGAGAAAGACTCCGTTGTGTGCAGGAAGCAAATTCAACGTCATTACACTTGTTTATGTGATATTCAGTCAATTCGAAAACAACCTTTTTCTCTGCGTCATGCGGTGGTTTGTGGGATTTGCCCCCTTGTATTTCCTCCGACATTTCTCAGTGAAATCGTGTATGAAACCACTTTTGTTTTCTCACATACGTAGTAGTTTGTCCGTGCTGACTCATGACAGGATTCATAAAGAAAAAAGATACATTTCCCTGAAATATTTATTAACTGTGGAAACACAGCGAGTTATATTTAATGTTCGGTGCTACGGAGTGTTAACTGCAGCATGTGTAGCTCGCCTTTCATCAAATCGGCTTCTTAAACCATCTCATAATTACGTCCGGAGCATGTGTGCTTTTAATTCCCTTGTCATTGTTTTGCATACAGTGAAGGCCTTTGTATGCAAGTCACTTTGTAATCTTGTGCTTGCCTTTCCTGACAACGTGACTGCTTCTTTTCATACTCAAGCTGTGTAAGAAATGTATGAAATGTTGCTTCGTCTAACAAGACAGACGAGAATAACATGCCTTACAGGAAGAGATCTACAAGCAGAACTGGGAGTGTATTTACTGGCGTCTTCTTTTTTTAATTAATATTAAAGAAATATTTGTTGCTCAAAAAGGGAAATCTTCTAACTTTTTGAACCACAGGGTCAGGCTTTAACAAACTACTACAACCATTTAATAAGAGCTGATAAGCTGAAGGATCATAGCTCATCGGCATTAAGTTCCTGAAAAGATCTAGTCCTTGCTACAGGAGATACAGTTTGGTCTCTTTTGGCGGCAGACACCTCAGTGACAGCAGTTATTTGGTGTCAATTAGTGCAGCCAGTTTTGATAATGACACACACAGTTCTTGGAAATGTCCATCAAATCACAGCAAAGTCTATAGTCATGAGGAAATGATGGCATAGATTAGTGTGTTGGGTGTGTTCACAAACACACAATGGGAATGCTGAATCAGTAAACCCTGGGGGGGGGGGGGGCTTCCTGAAAGCTTTAGTTACCTTCATTTTAGCATCATATTTTGTTCCATTTGTGGGCAGAAATACATCATTTCAGAACACAGCGTACCAACAACTTGAAATGAATCACTAAGGACTGTCATTCATAGCAAGTTTATATAGATGCAGAGGAATATATCTTCCTAGCACACTTCCAGCTACTTATTTCCATCAACATGTTCTGCTCACTCTCCACAGGAAACAGGAATAAAGTCCTATCTTCTAATGCGTTCTTTAATAGTCCGTGGCAGAACACGGAGCCCGGAAGTTGACAAAGAGTTATTGTTATTATAAATGGAAATGCAAAAACAGAATCTGTCTAATGCATCCAGACCTTAACATAACCTATGCTTAACAAATAATCACAAACACACTGATGGTAGGATTATATCTGTCCAAAAAATAGGTTTTGTCCTTCTTTGTTATACAAACATTGCATCCTCCCTCAAAATGAAAGCCTCACATAAATAATCATTACAATGAAGGAACAAAATACCAATTATAATATAGATCAATGCCTAATGTGTCAATTATATGTATCCTAAATCTCAATATGCTGAAATCCCCACTATATTGTTACAGTTATTACACTGGCATCAGAGCGATAGTTAAATGGTTACTTTCAACATTTCTGAGCCTACTTTTCTTTGCTACGTCTGGTTAGTTGAAAAGAAGTGAAGAAAAGACCAAACAAAACAGCAAAGCCCCAAACAACAACAAAGTATTGACAGAATAAAACAGAAATCAGTAGAGGGCATGGAGGTAGCAGATAGACCGCAGCTTTAAATCTTCAATAGAGCCCATTAACAGGCTCTGTTAGTCTATGAGATCTGGCACAAGTCCATGTGCTTTTGTCAATAATTAGACACTCTTCAAAGAGACTTTACTGCACCTTTTGTTCAGGCTTCAGCTCAAACTGTTTTAAGCTGCGGGACGGTCTCATTTGAATTCAAAATTTCTCCCATTAGAAATATTTGTTCAAGGCTTTTCCTTTTTAGAAAAACTGTGCAGCTGATGCACATGCTAATCACATTTATACATATTTAATTTATGAATTAATTGCTCAGATTTTACAGCAGCATACTGTATTTTCACAAATGTAAGGATTCTTTTAGAGTGTTCATTAAGTATTAGGGGATTTGGTAAAAGGAATTGCAAGCTATTGCAGCATTTGCCGAGCTCCCTGCATCAGATAAACAGACAAATAGATAAAACAATCTTTGAAATTCCTGCGGGGGCTGACCCCTCCTGCACAGACCGGAGGACCTGGAACTCTAACGCTCCACTCTCTCCGAGGTGCTGGGGAAAAAAAGGAATTCAACAACAGGAAATGGAGTCGACTGTTCAAGGAAATCCCAAAGAGGGAGGTGGACCAATTCTAACACGGACGAAAACAAACCCAGCAGAAGCTGCTCTATTCCCAGGGTGCACCTGTGATGTGTCGCTGCACAGCATGACTGCATGGCCAGTGTTACCCTAAGGCAGGTTTCATTAGATTTGTGTATGGCAGTGGAATTTGTGTGGTGCATGAAGCTTCTGCACTTGTATATTTTCATTTGAAGTTTTAACTTAAAGGTCCCCTATTATACTGTTTTTCATCAATATATTATAGGTCTCAGATATATACAAAACATGTCTCTGAAGTGTTTGGCTCGAAACACCAAACAGATCATTGTAGCATCCCATAATCCCCTCTGTTTCAGCCCTGTTTCAAAAGCGCTGATTCTCTGTCTGTTACTTTAGATGAAAATAAGGAGCCACTCCCCACGCCCCTCTGAGAGATATTTGGTTAAAAAGAACACAATGGTGCTCTAGGAGGAGATTCAGGTGATAAGGTGGGGGGGGGGGGGGGGGGTTACCCTGGTTGGCTATTGGCTAATGGTTACACAAGCCAAAACATCGTTGTGACATCATAAAGGGGCCTAAATCTGATCAGCTCATTTTCAGACAGGTTTTTATATAAATGGATCAGGACAAAAAGTGAGAGAATCTTTTTTCCTGAAACTTTCAGAGTCTCTTTACACAGAGGGGACACATGTTTATGTATAAAAGACATGAACAAGTGGATTTTGCATAGTATGTGACCTTTAATAACCATCACTCAAATAAAGTGGACACAATTCAGTTCATAATGTTCATATCATTTCCAAAGAAAAAGCGACAGAAAGAAGAAGAGAGAGAAAGAAGAAGAGACAGAAAGAAGAAGAGAGAGAAAGAAGAAGAGAGAGAAAGAAGAAGAGAGAGAAAGAAGAAGAGACAGAAAGAAGAAGAGACGGGCCATTGAAAGGCAGGGATATGGGAAACGGGGTGAAAAATGTTTTCAACATTTTCAAGCTTCATCATTAGGAGAAGAAGAGCACACAACGCAAAATAAACTCCAATCAGCGAGTAAACAAAGAACCAAATGAGGAGTGGAGCGGAGGAGTCTGAGCCGCTCGGCTGGATCAGCATTGGAGTTGATCACGATTGGCTATATAAAGCCTGAGACATTTCAGACTCAGTGTTCATTGTAACCCATTGTGCTCTGGGTGCACCAGATGTCTAATGCGCCCTTCTGCACTCTAACACTTTAAACGTTCTCAGCCGGTGATGAACCACACAGGAGCACAAACAAAAAAGTACCATCCGGCAGCTCCAATTAATATTTTTTAGATCGACAACGAGGTTCAGCAAGCGATGCAAGAAAGGCTGCTCTGGGTTTATCTGAAAAATGACAGTTTTGTCTTTTTTCAGCGACATTTATCATTACACAGCTGCTTTGAAGTGCTGCTGTAGACTGAATCTAAAATGTAAAGTTTGCTGAGGATGCAGAGAGGCTGTCTGAAACCAAGCCAGCCTGTCATAACACCATTAAACTAACACTCCCCTGTCCACAGATACTACTGAAACACTGAAGGACATTACGCAAACCTAAATATGAAACCAGTGAAGTGAAACTGTGATATGGAAACAGTGTCATGGTTTTAAATGTGTTCACCAGAAAGGAGTTGCATATGTTTTTTGCTTAGCACTTGATGTTGTTGCTTCAGGTTCATTTGCTTTAATGCTGTAAGTTTTTAGCGTTTAGTAGTTAGTTAAGTAGATGGTAAAAGGCCTTTAAAAAAACCCTTGCTGAGGTTTATATTTAGTACTTTCAAAGGTTAGAGGCGGATAGAAGATTTTCTTTTTAAAGCTTCTACTTCTTCTTTTACCGGCGCACACTCCCTTGTATTCCCACAGCTACAAATGTTAATTTCACACTTGTCCCTTTTGTCCTTCCCAATGGGGTAGGACACGGTCTCATTTTCAAACTAACTTCAAACTCTTTCAAAAACAGCAAAAAACTACAGAAATGTGAAATTTCAATTTGGATCAGTCAGAGGAGGAAATATCTGTATCTGGGGAGCATCATGTGACCTCCGAGCACGAGGCACCTGGTCTGAGACAGACGTTACACAGAGGTGACAAATGGGGGCTATTGGTTTGTTCCTTTGCCCAGTGGCTTTTATCTTACTGTATTATTTGCTTCCTCTTTTCTCTTTGCTTCTGATCCTACACACACAAGACCTGGAACTGATCATTGGGTGGACTGACTGAATAATAAGCATCGAATCAGAGAGGAAAAGGAAAAGTTTAATCTTAGCTGCAGCAGATTTCTGAGATCATATATCATTAAAAAAAACAGATATTGTTTTCCAATAAAGAAGATCTGGCTTGATACTCAATAACAGTGTTGGGTAAAAACATGGCTATAACATTGAATATTAATATAATGAGTTAAGCAGAAGATGTTATGGAAATTGGTTTATGGATAATTTATGGATCACATTGTTGTACATTTGGGGTTTCTTAATAATCCTAAATAATTCAAAGTCAAGCAGAAAAACAAAACACGTAGTAAAGCCCCATCAGCTGAAAGTACTCTGCTTGGCTAATATATTGCAATTCTTTTTTAATAAGATTAATCTTTTACTATTTTTACAAAAACAGTCATCAAATATCAAGTTTCAAGCTGCCTCACACAACACACTACAGTACAGGTGTTTGCATTTGCCACATTAATGTGACCTTGCATTTTAATTGTGATAATAATATGATGAACATTTGAATATCTCTAGAACTTTACAATATACATCCAAATGTTCATACTCCCAATCAAACATGAACCTGATCAACATCCCTGAACTCACAGTCCAACGCTCGTAGCTCCTGAAATAAACGTCTTACCTTGGGATCTCTTTCGAGACGGACTTGTGTCCCTCTGTGATCAGACAAGGATCTCTTCACCACCGTGCGATGCCGGAAGTGATAATAATCACCAAATACCTGAAAAGACAAAGAGATATGATCAGTGATCACACAACACAAGGACATTTTAATCTGTAATCTGATGACGGCTCTAGATCTGATAAAAGCTTGAATGAAGTATGACATGAATCTGCTCGGGGTATTCTCTGCCATGTTAATATAAATGAGTGAAGTGGTATTGAGTTTGGATACTCTGCTCAATATGCAATAGAGACAAAGAACCAAAATGATTATGTACACATCTGACCTTCAAAATCGTTACACAGTAAAGTTAGGCCAATTGACATGCCTGGATGAAATCAAGTAATAATTCATAGATTCTTACAGTGAATGCATTATTTATGGTTGTATTATAGCATAGACCCACTTAAAGCAGCATCAAAGATTTTAGAAAACATAATGTTGTTAAAACCTTGATATCCGGATTGCTGTTTTTTCTCTACAGCACATGTTTAATCAGGAGCTGTGAGGTTTTTCTCTCCATTTTACGGTGCCAAGTGTAGCTAATGGGCTGCATTAGCCGGTAGAAGGGTGTGCTCACAATCAGAGAAGCCTATTTCCATTTTTATTCCCAATAGCCCTCTCCAGCTCCCGGTACCATCACACCGACTGACGTGTTTCCCCCTGTGGGAAACCTGGACCATAATCCTCTGTGCCCAGTCCAGTTATTACTAAGGTGTAATGAAGGTCATTAACAGCTGTGAGCAGTGACACACTTTACCTCAAAGAATACAGTATGTTTTCTGAGCACAGAAAAGTTCACAACATCACAGCTGAGCAACTTGATGGTTAATCTACACGAGTGCTGGAAAATAGCATATTAATTGACAACAGAGTTTTATATTTGATATCTATTGAATAAACCATGTGCTTGTTACAGACTATAAATGGATAGATTAATATATAATGGGGAAACAATGTTGGTTCCAATCTTAATCTAGACTAAGGGAAATAAATAGTTAAATACTGTGTAGCAGCTGCTGACCAATTAAACTTCAATGGAGGTACTCAGGTGGTGTTATCAGCTCGTATGGAGCTTTGAATTGCATATTTTCGATTTCACTAATGACAGAATGGGGGAACTGCTGTTAGACTGAGAGTCATAAACAACATTACCACAACACACAGAGTTTATATGTGAGGCAAACATAGTCATGGACAGCATAAACATACAAGGAGACCAATCCAAACATACTTTGTCCACGGACTGGGATGTTTGGTGTCAGAGCGAAGGTTTTTTGTAGAGCAAAGGTACTCTAGAGTGTGTACTGCATTCCATCACTTTTAAAAGATTCACGGTTCATTCCCCCAACATCCTCTGCTCCCATTTAATCACAGTAAACAGGGCGATTCCAGCCGGGCTGACGCAAAACGCCTCTGCACACAAAGCCAGTGGACAATAGGGAGGCAATAACGGAGAGTGAAGACACTCTTTACAGTGATATTCAACTCAGAAGAGGAACCACGAGCGCGTGTGTGTGTGTGTGTGTGTGTGTGTGTGTGTGTGTGTGTGTGTGTGTGTGTGTGTGTGTGTGTGTGTGTGTGTGTGTGTGTGGGGGATATAAAAAGAGGATAAACGGGATTTCCAAAAAGCATTAGCTGAGCCAGAGAAGAGAAGAATAAGAGCAGGCAGTGGGCCTATTGTGTTATTCCAGATAAGAGGCTGGGAGGTGGACACTGATCAAAGACTTGGGTGGAGAGTGTGGCAGGGTCCATTAAGAAACTCTAAAACCAGTGAACAGGTATACCCGAAAACAAAGCATTGATGTTCTATTCATCCGGTCAGTCAATGATTTCTAAGATTTACCACAGTATAAAGCAGGCATTCGTGATGCATCGTGTTATACGGTTCTTTTGAGGGTTTTTTTATTGGACACATGATTCCATAAACAACATTATACCAGTTTTCCAGGGCAGAGGGCCACACAATGTGTTTCATAGACGGAATAAGGTTGCAGGTGTTTTGGTGTAAGATTTAAATCATAGACAAGTAGTATTTGTTATAAATGACATGCTGATATCCACCAGAGAGCATCAGCCCAAATGTGTCCAAAGCAGGCAGCAACACATGCTACGTTTTTATTGAACTTTTGGTACTTTGCTTTAAAATAAGGCACTGTAAAAAGTGTAGGAAGCTCACAAAAATCAGTGGTTGTCAAAAGTAACACTGGATTATTTATAAAATGTGTATGACAATGCAAAGTACTTGAAGTTTGTCTAAAAGTGAATAATGACTTTGTAAATTAAATTACAAGGACAGTTTGATTCTACACATCTACATTTGCCACAGCGGATATTAAAATATAAAAAGTAACATGGATACTCGCAACAATTACGACAACCTCCCTACAGACACAAGTCAAGACACCAGCTACCCATTGGACATAGACTTGTTCCCAAATAGACAAAACGTTCACATATGTATAGATGGACAGATATACACATACAGGGACAAAGGTCACCCACATTAAACGGCTCAACCGTGTCAAACATATGCGATCACACATACTACCCTCACTGAACATCATGAAGTGCATTTTAGTTCTGCTTAATGTTTTCCCCGAGAGCTTAATCACATGGAAATCAGCAACAACAGTTAAGAGCTTTTGTTTTGGACCATTTAATCTGAGGACAGCAATGTTTCTGTGAAGCTTAACTGCTTTCCACTGGAAAAGAGAGCCATTTACGACAAAGACATTCAGATGGAAAAAGGACGCGGAAACAGACCGATCAGGACTTGAGTGACCATTACTGATGTGATAAGCCGGGCTCTGATAGAGCAGAACAGGCTTAACCGGTGTTCTCCGTGTGGCTTATTACTGAAGTGAGGCATTAATCCATCAACCTCATTAAAATGCACGGTAACAGACAGCGGAAAATTACTGTCTGCTGGTTTGTTTGCTCACACCCCGCCTGCCAAATTTACCTTGTGGGAAAGCGCTTATCAAAAAAGTCTGGTGTCTCATCTCCAGTGACTGTTGACACAATTATGTTTTACAAAGAGCAACACAATGTCTAGAGACAAAGTGGGAAAGAGGTTTGGAGGCTGCAATAACTTGATATGAAATGGTTTTCCATACGGAGTCGTGAATGTCAGGAACAAAGCCTGTGCATTTTGGAAATTCCACTTGAGAGGAGGCCATTATAGCGGTTAAACTACAGACACATCAATCACAACGCACATCAATCATGACACATTTCCCCTCAGTCTTGACGTTTAACTGCATTTGATTTAAGGGCATCGGGATGTGGGGCATTACCATATTTTGTTTGTGCACCAGCGGGTTGAGATGAATTGAGCAAATTAGACTTTTGGAGGCACAGGCGATAGGGCTCCTAAAATAGTTCAGCAACTTGTTTATATAATGAGGCTGGAGTCTAATTACTCAGTGTGGTGAATGGGTAGGACAGGACCACAGACGGTCCAATGGCAGCTGGACGTACCGGGCAGTTCCTGTAAAGGAGGGCCGAGCTGCCCCCGCACACCTGAAAATGTGTTTGAACAGCTGGTCTGCCCTTCTGCCAAACTACTCTTAGTCATTACATGGCGTCTTCTCATTGTTTTCCCCCCTATTTTACTCTTCCCGTAGCAGTCATTATGTTTTTTCATACTCATTAGCCTATGGTTTTATTAGGCATCTATCTTAAGTTTGTACCAAAGCTAAATCAAGAGTTCCGGTAGCCTTTACACCGCAGAGGGTTTAAAGATCACATATGCAGACATTTTTTAATCATCTAGGAATAAATTATTATGTTTATGAAGCCGTAAAAGTGAAACTGAAGCTACCTTATTTATCAACACACCGTGCATCCTCAACAAGCCGCACTCCTCCACTGAGTTTAAACAGTAAATACAGAATATGATTCCTGGCAGTCGCCGCCATTTGATTGAGAAGATGTTCGATTAGTCTATTAAATTAAGTTGAGAAAAAAAACAAGAGGACTAAATTGGATTGGGAGGATGGCTGGGAAATACCCCAATGACTTCAAGCTGACTTTGTGATTAGCGTGACCGTAATTCAGCCAGAGGGCCTCAGTGTAAGCCCTTATAACAGTGGAGTACCTTGTTCAGTATGTTTAAGGTCATTCATTATCACATGTCTATCAGCAGGCAATACAAGAGAAAGTCTAAGGTTTTGAATGCATCCTTTATATGCTTTCACAAAAGTATTTTATAAGAATATTTGATAAACAATCTCTCCTTTGTGTCCTTCAGTTGACCAAAATGAAATCTGCTAGAGTTTGAACTCGTATCCAACCTTGTTAATCTGCTTAAAAAATGTGTACTTCGGTTTACATAGAATGACATTGTGCCATGTGTTTAGCTGTTTGAGGATGATTGATTTTTACTATTTAATCAACCAAGTGAATGGCTTTGATTCCTATAGTTTTTCATGAATAGGGACTACTTCATTTCTGCTGATGAAAACTGTTTTGAAATTCTCAGTCACCATGGTCATGAAAACTGTAGCTCACACAGTGCAAAAGGACCTATGATCTATATTTTACAGGAAGGTTAAGCTATTGTCCAAGGATTTATTTCCTCTGGTCTCTCCAATCTTTGTGGGCGAGTTCATGAGTCTTCTTTCAAGTTTCTAGATACTTTCAGGTAATGAAATTCAATAAACATTTTGCAAAATAGAAAACATTGCAATTAGAAAAGCAGAATGAGTGTTTAAATGATGGTAAAAGGTGCATGCTATTTTCTTATTCAGAAAGTCTGACATGAGTTGTGCTGCATTGTTATGCTTTGTCCCATAGTGTGTGAAGTGCTGGTGAGTACTTTAATAGTTTCCCAAAAAAACATCCAGGTAGTTTTTTCTAAATCGTGTAACATTTCAAGCTATGTTTTCCAACAAAGTAGCAGGGAAGCGCACCCAGATGCAAAATATTATATTTGATTTACAAGTGCTTTCTCTTTTTGCTCCTTCTGTCGACTCACCACTGTGCTGCGGAGCTCTTCCATTGATTCAGCGAAACTGCATTTAAAGGTTATCAGATGTACATTTGAAAGAAAA